GCACATGCACCAAACGGCCGAAAGAAAGGGCCATGGTGCTTGTGAACAGCGGAGTCAATCCCGTGACCTTGCAACTCCAGTGTCCCCTTCTCTGAGTGACCAGTTCAAAGTCCTGGGCTATACCAGGCTCCTGGTGATGCACCAAGAAGGAGGCAGAAGATGGCCCATCTGATAACCCATGTGGGAGACCCAGATGGAGTTCTAGCTCCCAGCTGTGCTCAGCTTGGCCAACCCCTGGCTACTGCAGCCATTCAGGGATGGAGGATAGACCTCTCTTTCTCTCTTTCCTCTCTCTCTCTCTAACTGCCTTTCAAATAAATAAATCTTTTTGGGGAAAAAAAGAAGAAAAAGGCAGAAAAGAGGTATTGAGATCATTGTTCAATGGGTTTTAAACTCAAACTGGAAAAGGTTTCCCACATGCAGAAGGAAATGTGTGAGCTAGAATCCACCCTCTCTCCGCACTCATCAGGTCTACAAGTAAATACGCCCAAAGATAAGCATTAGCCATTTATAGATTCTGCAGTCCACCCACACTCCCTCTGAGTAATCCACAAAAGAGATCAGCGGTTTCTCAGGCACAGATTGATTTTGAATGTATTCTGAGCAACTTGAAAAATAGACCAAAATTTTTAAAAAATAAACAAAAACATTTCTTTTGTGGGGGAGATAAATCTTCAATAACCTGGTTATTTGTATAAATTGTTTAGTTCAAAGCATTTCTACCATATTTGTATCAAAGCATCAAAAGTGGCTTGTTACGTGGCCTGCACGACACTGACCCTGGAGGGGAGACAGGTGTCTGTGTGTCTCTGTGTGTGTGTCTCTGTGTGTGTGGTGTGTGTCTGTGTCCGTGTGTGTGCCGACACTGACCCCGGAGGGGAGACAGGTGTCTGTGTGTGTGTGTCTGTTTGTGTCTCTGTGTGTGTCTGTGTCTCTGTGTCTGGACCTGGTGGCCCTCGGCCCTCTCAGGTGTCCCTCAGGCTGGGTGTGGCTATAGCTGCACCTGTGCCCTCACCTGTTGTGTAGTAGGGGAGGGTGTGGGTGTGTGGGGGGGGTGTCCTGCTGGGTGGGGGTCAGGTGAGGACAGACCCACCCAGAGCAGCAGGGGGCCCATTGGGCTAAGAGATGGCAAGAGCCTTGGGCAGAGGTCAGATGGGAAAACTTGGATAAGGCTGTATTCTGAGGACATTTTTGTAGTTTTTGAAGAGAATCCAAAAACAACAATCAAAAACGTTTTCCTGTCCCTGCTCCCAGCAAGCATGTCTGATTTAATCAAGTCCGCGCTAGCAGCGTGTTGTGTTCTAGAACCTTCACCAGCCTTTACGTGGAACAGGAATGGGTGCTTTCTGTGGACCAGTGAATCACACAGTAGCAGAAGGCTGAGAGTGGAGTCGGGCTCTGCCCTCCTGGAGCCGGCACCGCGACCACTGTGAACCTGGCGGGTGGCGGGGCCTCTCCAGGAAGGGAGAGAGAGGCAGAGGCCGCACCTGAGCCGGGGGTCCCCAGTGCCTCCCCTCTCTCCGTGACTAACGCTTCTCTTTCCCCTCCCAGGACCCCTCCGTGACCCAGCTGACCAATGCCACGCAGGGTGGCCTGGCTGAATTCAACCCCTTCTCCGAGGTTGGTGCCCACCTTCTGTGCTTCTCCAGCTGGTGCTGGGGTCCCCAGGGCGCAGAGCCCGCAGAGCCCCGGGCAGCGAGTTCTCCTGTGCACTCAGGGTGGTCCCCAAAGGTTCTCCCTCGGGATCTGGGACTGGAGGCCCCTGCCGAAGTCGGGCCTGTGCCCGAGAGCTCCGGCTCCCGTGAGGCCAGGGATGTCGCCTGAACCCGGGGCTCCTGGCCAGGGAGCTGTAGAGGGAGCACCCCTTCCCCGCATGCAGGGACCAGTCGCGTGCCATGGGTTTGCCACTCTCTTCCCTCCTTTGGATCCATCCCACGCAGACAAATGCGGCGACAACGGTTCCTGTCGCGCCGCTTCCTGGGCCCTCGCAGCCAGCGGTTCTCCAGCCCTCGGTGGAACCAACCCAGCCAACGCCCCAGGTATGGTGGGCAGGGGGTCCCGGGGCTCCTGTGCAGGAGGGAATCTCCTGGGGCCCAGCAGAGCCCTCTTGCCTCTCCCTCCCAGGCCCTCTTGCTGTCACATTTGGAACTGTTGCTTGCGAGGGAGGAGCTGCCCTCCCCTCTGATGTCCTCAGCCCTCCCCACCCCCCACCAGCGCCAGGCGCGGCTCTTGGTAAACTCAGAGCGTCTGGCCTGCCGGGTGCTCCGGGCCCGCCCGGGTCTCCTGCCCAGGGCCAAGAGTCTCCCTCCCCTTGACTTCATTTATCCCTCCTGCCTTCCTGTCTCCCTGGGTCCCCACACAAATACGGGGACTCCTGTGTGCTCTGCGCCCAACACTCTGCCCTGCTGCCTGTGCCCTGCCCCGCGCTGCTCGCTGGCCTGCGAGTGCGGCCCACGGTGGAGGGTGTGATGCGGCTCCGGCTTAGACAGGCGGCAGGTTCCTGCCTGCACGGCTCCTGGTGGTGGGCCAGCTCTCAGGGCAGATGCTGCTGGCAGGAGATAGCGCGCTCAGGGACAGCTGCATGCGGAAGCTGCCGCGGGTAGGCCGAGTCTAGGTGAGCAGGAGGGCCCTAGAACTCTGGCTTGATGTCTGCTCTGGCCCGAGCAGTGACAGTGGCAGGCAGGGGCAGGTGCTGGGTGGGGCCCTTGAGCCCCTCACTCGGAGGAGAGAAAGCCTGGACAGGGCATGCCGTGAAAGCCAGGCGGCGCAGGGCCGGTCCCGGCTGGGGTGACCGGCTGAGGTCTGGCAGACCTGGGCAGCTCCTGGGGGGTAGGGGCGGGTTGCCCCCTTGCTCCCGACCCTGAGGCGCGGTGCACAGGGTCGGCCACTTCGCATGCCCTGTGGGCTCTGGCCTCTCTGGGTCTCTGGCTGTGAGTTACTCACTTGTGAGTTTGTTTCCTCTTTGCTCGGATCCCCGGAGGTCACTGTGACTGGATTCTGCCTGGACTCCAGTGTGGGGAGCAGGGGATCCATGGGGGATAGGCCCCTCCTCAGGCTTAAGGCTGAGGGGAGAGGGACGCCCTGGGGATGGCTGAGGGGCTGAGATCCCGTGGGAACAGCAAGGCCTGGTCCCGCTGGCCTCTGTGGGACTGCCGGGCGCCCCTGCCTGCCCACCCGGGCTGACCCTGCTCCTGTGTCTCCTGTGTCCGGTCACCTCCCCCCGCCCCTCCCGTCCTTTCCAGGCCGTGGCTTCTGCAGCCCAGGCAGGCCTGCTCCGGCAGCAGGAGGAACTGGACAGGAAGGCTGCCGAGCTGGACCGCAAGGAGCGGGAGCTGCAGAACACGGTGGCCAACCTGCACGGTAAGGGGGCTGCTGGCCCTGGCCACCCTGCCTGGCACAGGACGGGGGTCTGAGCCGCCGCCTTCCCGGGGCAGCCTTGGGGCACTGCAGGCTCCTGGGCAGCTCAGAGGCGAGGAGCGTGGTCGGCTGGAAGGTGGAGCCTGGTGGGCGTAGGTGGTTCCCGCACCCCCCAGCTCTGAATCCTTGTCTTCTGGGATAGCGTGGGGTCTCTGGTTGACCCTAGCCCCTTGCTCGTGAGTAGGGCCTGGTTGTCGTGCCAGGGGCTGGTGGTTAGTGGAGTAATCCCCGAGGCGGGCAGGCTCTGTGCGTCCCAGTATTTAGAGCCCATGGCCTTGAGTGAGCGCTCTCCTGCCCACCCAATGCTCTGAGAAGACCAAGGCGGCACGGGGGCGGGGTACTGTCTGCCTTGGGCCGGCCGGGTACACCTTGCGGCTGCTGCTGAGGCTGGGCCCTCACCCGCCCTTCCTTGTTCTGTCCGCACAGTGAGAGAGAACAACTGGCCGCCCCTGCCTTCCTGGTGCCCAGTCAGGCCGTGCTTCTATCAGGACTTCTCCACAGAGATCCCTGCCGACTACCAGCGGATATGCAGGATGCTCTACTACCTCTGGATGTGTGAGTGTCGAGCCGGTCGCTCCCCTCCTCGCAGCGGGCACCGCCTCCTGCCCACGGGTGCCCCTGTCTGGGACCCTCCTCGACAGGGGCGGGCAGGGTGAGACAGCTGAGACTGGTGCCTGCGGAGCTCATGGCCCTGAAGGCCCCCGTAGGTGACAACCTCCCATCAGTGAGCCCCGGCTCCAAGGGCCAAGGGAAGCACTCCCTGTGTGGTGCTCAGGGGGCCATGCGGGCCCTGGGAGGAGAGTTGCTAACACAGAGACTTCATTGCCCAGGGGTCAGCCTCCTGGGAAGGGGCTAGCACTGCCTGGGAGCAGACCCAGCCCTGTGCTGCCTCCACGCTGCCCACGGCCCAGCTGCTGGGGCCTCCTTCGGCCACTGGGGCCAAGTGTCTCTCCCCCCCTTCCCAGTGCACTCGGTGACTCTGTTTCTGAACCTGCTCGCCTGCCTGGCCTGGTTCTCGGGCGACAGCTCCAAGGGCGTGGACTTCGGCCTCTCCATCCTGTGGTTCCTCATCTTCACCCCCTGTGCCTTCCTGTGCTGGTACCGACCCATCTATAAGGCCTTTAGGTGAGTGTGGCATGGGCCGTGCGTCCTGGGCCTCATCCGTCTTGGAGCAGCACAGACAGGGGTCAGCATCGCCCTCAGCTGTACCCGTGCTGTGTCTCTGGGTTCTTTTGTTTGGTTGGGTTTGTTTTTTAAAGATTTATTTATTGTTTGAAAGGCAGAGTTACAGAGAGAAAAGGAGAGACAGAGAGAGAGAGAGAGTTTCCATCCGCTAGTTCACTCCCCAAATGGCCACAATGGCCAGGGCTGGGCCAAGCTAAAGCCAGGGGCTTCATCCAGGTCTTGCGTGTGGGTGCAGGAGCCCAAGCACTTGAATCGTCTTCTGCTGCTTTCCCAGACGCATCAGCAGGGAGCTGAATCATAAGTGGAACAGCTGGGACTTGAACCAGTGCTCACATGGGATTCCAGCGTTGCAGGCGGCAGCTTAACCCCCCATGTCTTTGAACTAGGCACAGGAGACCAAAGGAGGGAGCAGGAACCTAACCCTGACCCTAACCCTGACTTAGTCTTGCTGCTCCCAGTCTGGCCAGGGCTGTGGTGTGTCAGTCACTGCAGGGAGGAGGGATCTCTTTATGGGGGACCAGGGGGAGCAGGTGCTCAGTGCTGTCTCCAGGCACAGTTACACTCCACAGGGCCTTGTGCATCCAACTCAGCACCAATACCTGGATTGTTGAGGTTGATTTCTTCTGAGAGGAAGAGCGTGGTAGGGGCAAGAGGCGCAGAGTCACCACACAGACCCCGGGAGTCAGGTGAAAGCAGGCCTGAGGCGAGCAGCCTGCAGACTCGTTTATTTCAGTTGCTACAGCAGCTTATATAGCCAAGGCAGCCAATCCAGTCAAGGGGCGGTCTATGCCCTAACCAATCACTGCCTGTTTCCAGGCAGTTTCCGAAGCCATCCAATCACAGCCTGTTGCCAGGCAGTTTCTGTTGCCAGAGGCCATCTTGGCATGGCCTTCTCATTCCACCACATTTCCCCCTTTTCGTTTACTTTTGAGCAATGAGAGGCATGATTCTTGGCCATACCATTGTTGACCCCGTTTCCATGTGGTCTCCGTACGCGGCTGTGCCTGTCCCCCAGGGGATCTTACCCGTCATTGACTAATCAGCGCTCAAAACGAGAGACCACAAGAGTGCTTGCTCAGATGGGGGTAGGAATGAGGAACAATGGTAATCAGGAATGGCGTGACCGCACACAGGCTGTGGGCCGTTCGAGTGGCTGACCAGAGCTAGTGGGGTATAAAGTAGTAGCGATGTGGCTATGGGCAGTTTCTCAGGGTAGGATGATAGGGCAGGTGCGTCCGCTAACAAGGCGGACTCTCTGTCTTGTTCAGCTGGTTCTGGTTGGCTGTCAGTTGCAGGCCTGATGTTTCTGGCTGGTACCCAAATGGGCTGTCCCGCATTCTCCGGAAAGACACAAGCATATCCTTGGCCCTTGGTTAGCAGAGGGTGTGGTCCCTTCCATTCTCCTGTCAGGGGGTCTTCCCACGTAACCATAGGGGCTGGGGGCTGGGATGGAAAGGATCCCAGTGTTTATAAGCTAGGCTGATCCCTTGGGAATCAAAAGTAAGAAAATTGATAGTGAAAAGGACCTCAGTCAAAGCAAGCTGTGGGCCTGGGGGCATATGGAATGAGAATGCCATGCCAGGATGGTCGCTGGCAACACTGGACGAGATACCGGGACCGCTAGCAGATGGACCTCCCTGCCCCCCAGAGGTTTGGAATTGTACCTCGGAGCTCTGCCGTCAGGGCTGGGATCAGCAGGCAGGACCTGAGCCCTCGCCGTGTCTGGCTGCCGGGACCTGGAGAGGGAGGGGTCGGCCCTTGCCGAGTCTTGTCTACGCTCACTACCCCTCGTCTATCTTCTTCCCATCTGGGCCTGCAGTTTGTTGTTGATCAACAGAGAGCGAGGGAGAGACAGAGATCTTCTGTCCTCTGGTTCATTCCCCAAATGACTGCAATGGCCAAGTCTAAGCCAGGCAGAAGCCAGGAGCCTGGAGCTCCATCAGGTCTCACAGGAGTGCAGGGGCCCAGGCACTTGAGCCGTCGTCTGCTGCCTTCCCAGGCCATAGCAGGAAGCTGGGTGGGAAGTGGTGCAAGTGGGGCTGGAACGGCGCTCTGATACAAGATGGCAGCGTTGTGAGCAGCAGCCCGACCCTCTGCGCCACACTGCCGGCTCCGGCCCGACCCTCTGCGCCACACTGCCGGCTCCGGCCCGGCCCTCTGCGCCACACTGCCGGCTCCGGCCCGGCCCTCTGCGCCACACTGCCGGCTCCGGCCCGGCCCTCTGCGCCACACTGCCGGCTCCGGCCCGGCCCTCTGCGCCACACTGCCGGCTCCGGCCCGGCCCTCTGCGCCACACTGCCGGCTCCGGCCCGGCCCTCTGCGCCACACTGCCGGCTCCGGCCCGGCCCTCTGCGCCACACTGCCGGCTCCGGCCCGGCCCTCTGCGCCACACTGCCGGCTCCTGCCCGACCCTCTTTATTGTTCAAGATTTATGCCCTTGCCTCGGATTTTCCTGCCTGTTACGAAATGCAAAGAAAACACTCCAGGATATGGAGCATTAGGCTCCAGGACACAGCTCTCTCAGCTCTTTGAGGAAGGCACGAGGCCCTGGGCCCTTGAATTGGAAGGCGTGCAAGGCAAACCCTTCCTGATGGTGGTGTACGTCCGTGTCCTTAGGGTCCCCGGGGGCCCCCTGCCCCGCCGGCCTTGGGAGGAGAGCTGTCACATCACATGGGGTGCTGAGGAACACGGCCCCAGCCCCCTGTGACTCCTGTCTCTCTCTCCACAGGTCCGACAACTCCTTCAGCTTCTTCGTCTTCTTCTTTGTATTTTTTTGTCAAATAGGGATCTACATCATCCAGTTGGTTGGCATCCCTGGCCTGGGGGACAGGTGAGACCTGGGGGACCCCAGAGGGACCTGGGCCTTGGACGTGGGGCTCAGCCCCTTTGGTCGGCACGGGGTTGCGGTGACCTGGGCTCGCAGGGCTGTGTCCTGCCTGGCGTCGTGCCTGACGGAGCCTGCACAGGCCCTCGGGCCTCCGTGCAGGGGCCGCCTCTTGCCGCCCCTTCAGAGCGTGTGGCTCCTCAGTCCTGGGCTGCAGCTCGTGTCAGACGGCGGCTGGCTGACGTGTCCACTTCTGCCCCGGTGCGCAGGGAACATTGCAGAAAGGTCAGGCGGGCCCCTGGCTGGGCGCCCGAGCCTGCAAGGGCCGCACTATTTTGGTGCTGGCCCTCCAGCGGAGCTGGCGACGTCCAGAGCGGTGAGGAGGGGCCTGGCCCCCGGCACCCTCCTCCTTCTCGCCCCGCTGTTGCTAATCCGGCCCCTTTTGATCAGTGACCTGATTTCCCCACTCGGGAGCCAGGCAAGACCCTGATGGGGAGGGTGTGATTATTCACTGCTGTGTGCACCCTGGCCCGGCAGCCAGGGGCTCCCGTTCCAGCCCCGCTTGCCTCTGCCTCACCGAGCTCCGTGGCCTCCTAACGTGTTTCTCAAGGCCGCCGGTGACTTCTCTCTGCTGCCATTTCTGTTACTGTAAAATACACACAACGTCAGACTGACCGTTTAATTTGCCACAGAAACCATTTAAAGATGTACAGCTCTGTGGCTCTCAGTGCATCTGCAGTGTTATGCGGTCACCACGCTGTCTGGTTCTGGAACATTCTTGTCACCCAGAAGGAAACTTCAAACCCATGAAGTACCCACTCCCCCAGGCCCCTGGCAGCCGGGAACCTGCCTTCGGGTCCGTGGCGTGGCTGTTCCCAGGGTGCACCATGTTGGGTGTGCGTGAGCGCCGCACCGCTTCTGTGGGTAGACTGCCTGCAGTCCCAGCTGAGGGACCCGGCTTGGGCTGTGTCCCTAGGAGCAGAATCCCTGGGTTCTGTGCGAGTCCCCAGCCGTTCCTCCCCCAGCAGCGTGTGGGGACTGTAGCTCGTCGTGTCCTCGCTGGTGCTTGTGATTTGCTGCTGCTTGTTCTTCCGTCTTTTAAACTGTAGCCGACTCAGAGACGGGTGTTTGCTTACGCTCTGGATCGGCATTTCCTGAGCGAATCACGATGCTGAGCATCTTCTGTGTGTTTGGCAGTTTGTGTGTCGTCTTTGGAGCATTGTCTGTCAAGTTCTTGCTGATTTGTTCTTTGTAGTTGAAAAATTCTTTATATATTTTGGATACTAGATCCTTACTAACTTATAAATTTCCTTTTTCTTTTACGCTTGATTTATTTGAAAGGCAGAGTTACAAAGAGAGAGAGAGACAGACAGAGGTCTTCCATCCACTGGTTCAGTCCCCAAATGGCTGCAATGGCCAGGGCTCTTCCAGGTCAAAGCCAGGACCTCAGAACTCCACCCAGGTCTGCCCCGTGGGTGCAGAGGCCCAGCACTGGGCTGTCCTCCTCTGCTTTCCCAGGCGCACTAGCAGGGAGCTGGGTCGGAAGTGGAGCGGCCAGCACTCGTATGGGATTGCCGGCATCACAGGCAGTCTTTGTCCATTCTGCGTGTCGTTTTCTTCTGTTCTTTTCCCTTGATGCCGTCCTTTGGCGCACAGATTCTAGTCCTGATGGCATCCGGTTTCTCTTTTGCTCTGGCCGCTCGTGCTTTTGGTGTCGTGAGTGACTGGTCACGGGCTTGAGTTCTGGCCCTGCCCGGTTCTGCCCAGGTGAGCTCTGCCGCCTCCCGCGGTGTTGCCACATCGAAGGCCATGAGGAGCCACCTCTGTGTCCTGCTGGGAGTTTCACAGTCGTGGGCCCCCGTCCTGCACACGGCTCCCCGGCTGTCCCAGCACCGCTGTTGAAGGGCCTGTTCTTGCCCCCTTGAACGCTGGGCGCCCTGTCCAAGAGCACTGGACCACAGGTGTGCCGGTTTAGCTCAGCTCTGCTCCGCTGATCTCCGTCTGTCCTGAGTGCCAGCCCCGCCCGCATTTTTTTGAGATCAGGGAGGGGACATGACAGGGTGGGGGCTGTGGGCGCTGGCTGGGAGGACAGGGGACCGGGCGGGGCGCCACCTGGCCACACGTCCCTCCTCAGCGCAGTTGAGGGCAGCACCACATCTCCCGTCACAGCTCTTGTGAATCCACGTCCGCGTGCCCACGGGGGACGGGCGGGGCAGTGTGGGCCCCTCCCGGGCCCACTCCCACGCTGCCCCCGGCTTCTCCCCCGTGCAGTGGTTGGATTGCAGCCCTGTCGACGCTGAAGCAAGAGTCGCTGGCCGTGTCCATCATCATGATGGTGGTGGCCGGCTTCTTCACGCTCTGCGCCGTGCTCTCTCTCTTCCTCCTGAAGCGGGTGAGTCGGGGGCCGGGCGGGCTGGCTCTGGTGGGCCCGGCAGGCGGGTGGGCGGGCGGGCTCTTCTCACGGCGTCTCTCCCCCAGGTGCACTCCCTGTACCGGCGGACAGGGGCCAGCTTCCAGCAGGCCCAGGAGGAGTTTTCCCAGGGCATCTTCAGCAACAGAACCCTGCGCGGCGCGGCCTCGTCCGCGGCCCGAGGCGCCTTCCAGGGCAATTAGTGCTGAGTGCCCTCTGCCCAGCCTCGCTGTCGCCTGCCTTCTGAGCTGCACTTTCCGTGGGTGCCTTACGCGGTGGTTACGGCCGGCACGGCCGGCGGGGGTCCAGCCATGGCTCTGCCTCCTTCCGAGCGACTGGCTGACCCGTCCACCAGGGGAGGGGCGGGAGGGGCAGGGCCTTTTTTACACAAGACAAAAGAAAAAAAACACAACTGTCTGTCTCCTCGGCGGGGCCCCGGGCGGATCCCTGGACTCCGTGGGCTGAAGCTGTCCGCTCCCTGGCACTCGGGGGGCACTGGCTGGCCTGGGCCCACCCACCTGGAGTCTTCTGCAGGGTCCGCCCTCCTGCCCGAGCCGGTGGGTGGATAGCTCTGTTCCGCAGGTCACGCGGAGTGACCATCTGGCTTCCAGAGCTGCTGACCTGGCTGCCCCAGGCCCCAGCACCCACCGGGTGGGGGCCCTCCCCGAGCCCTTCTCTCTCGAGACTTGGTGCCCGTGCAGAGGTGCTGGGAGGAGTCGGGGACTCTGACCCGCAGCGTCCTGCCCTGCCTCTGCTGTGGTTAGCCCGGCCCCGTTCCGTTCCCTTGACTTCTCGGTGCTGGGGCGCAGCTGCCCTTTGCCTTAGCCTCAGCGTCACCACCCGTGCCCTGCCCTGCCCTGCCCCAGGAGCTGCGTCCCCAGGCAGGACCGAGGGGCCCGCAGGGTCGAGCCTGGGTCACCTTCACTCGCCTGTGCCAGCACCGGTCCTCCCCAGGCCGCGGGCCTCGGCCCTGGACTGCCAGCCTGGCCGGCCTGCCTCCCCGCCTCCTCCTCCTGCCTGTGGGACCCGAGGCTGCCCTGAGGCTGTCCCGGGGCTGGGCCGTCTGGGCCGAGGCGCCCAGTGAGGGCGGCAGCCACCAGGGTTGTGTAAACTCTTCTGATATTCTCTCCTCCATGTACAAATGTATATGTCATGTCTCAATTTTTGTGCTTAAATAAAGATTTTCTGACAACACTGGTCTCGGTGTCTGGTGGACTTGGGGTGACCTGTGGGCTCGGGGCGGAGGCGCTCCCGGAACAGGTGCAGACAGGTCATCAGCTCCTCCCAGAGTGCAGGTGGGCGGCGCCCGGAGGACCACCGGTGCCCTTCCCGAGGCGCTTTCTCCCCCAGTACTTCCTACTCGAGGGAGGCGCCCCGCCCCGCTTTTAGGACCCCCCCCTCAGCCGCCGCTCAACCAGCCTGCTGGCCCCGGCTCACTTCCGCCCCGCGGGGCCTGGGGAGCGGCGCGGCCTCCAGCGCGGGGAGGAGCCGGCGGCGTTGGGGGCGGGGCCTCCGTGGCGGGGGAGGAGCCCGCGGCGGCGAGGGGCAGGGCCTCCAGCGCGGGAGGAGCCGGCGGGGGCGGGGCTTCGGCGGCGAATGCGGGGCGGGGGCGGCGAGAGGAGAAGCAGGCGGCTGCGAGGGGCGGGGCCGCGCCGGCCTCCTCTCCGCTGCACTTCCGGCGGGCGGCGCTGGGGGCAGCAGGGAGCCCGCGCCCCTGCCGGAACCGGGCGAGCACCTGGGCGCGTGCGCGGCGGCCGCGATGGCGGGGCCCGGCTGGGGCCCCCCGCGGCTGGACGGCTTCATCCTCACCGAGCGCCTGGGCAGTGGCACGTACGCCACGGTGTACAAGGCCTACGCCAAGGTGCGCGCGGCGCCTCGGGGTGTCGGGCCCCGGAGCAGCGCCGCGCCACGCTCGGGCTGAACGCGCGCCCCGACCCGTGGAGCCTGCGGGCCGGGGGACCGCCGGGTGGGCTGCGCGGCGTCTAGGCCCGGGAGGGGGGGGGTGGGAGACCTCGGGGCTGGGGTCCGGGGGGGCCAAGGCGCGCCTCTCCAGCCACCCTGGGCCCCGCCCCCACAAGCAGAGCCCACAGCTCCCGTCCCCCCAGAAGGACACTCGCGAGGTGGTGGCTATAAAATGTGTGGCCAAGAAGAGCCTGAACAAGGCGTCCGTGGAGAACCTGCTGACGGAGATCGAGATCCTCAAGGGCATTCGGCACCCTCACATCGTGCAGCTCAGGGACTTCCAGGTGGGCGCGGGGCGGGGGCGGGGGCGGGGCCTCCCGGGGCGCTGCGGGGAGGGCGCGGTCCTCAGGCCGCCCGTCCGCTCCCGCCCCCGCAGTGGGACAGCGAGCACATCTACCTCATCATGGAGTTCTGCGCGGGCGGCGACCTGTCCCGCTTCATCCACACCCGCAGGATTCTGCCTGAGAAAGTGGCCCGGGTCTTCATGCAACAGCTGGGTGAGCGCCCCCGACCCCCGCCCTGGCCTGGGCCCCTCGCTGGCTTAAGCTGCTCTAAGAGAGGCAGGAGAAATGTTCCAGGGCCCAAGTGTTTGGCAAGGGAGGGCAAGGTCTTACAGGGCTGGGGCCATCCCGGGAGGCTTGCAGAGGCGGCCAGGCAATCCGGGAAAACCCTTAGGGTTGGCAGCAGCCTGGAGGGGCAGCGCAGGGGGCGGGCCCCGCTGACCTCCCTCCCTGGCTGGGAGCCGCGCGCCAGCCAGTGCCCTGCAGTTCCTGCACGAACGGAACATCTCCCACCTGGACCTGAAGCCACAGAACATTCTGCTGAGCTCCCTGGAGCGGCCGCACCTGAAGCTGGCAGGTGTGCGTGTGGCGCAGCCCGGGAGGGGTTGGGGGAGGGGGTGTGTGCGGAGGCCTCCCCGGCCCGGGCTCCCTCCACAGCCCTGGCTCTCACAGCGCTCTCTGTTGAGTCGTCAGACGCTGGGCCCTGTGGGCAGGAGGTGGGACCTTCCTCAGGTGCCACACACAGGCCCAGCCGCGCTGTGGGTGGGCTTAGGGCTTCAGGCTGCATGTGTCCGGGCTTGGGGTCCCTGGACACAGGCCAGGGTTTGGTGTGAGGCCAGCCTCAGGATCTGGCCTGAGTCAGGGTGCGGTGCGCACCGGCAGCAGGGGGGAGCAGGACCCCTCCCCCCTGGCGGGTTGGGAGCGGGGCCGGGAACGGAAGCAGCTGGAATTGGATGGAGCCCGTGGCCCGGCCTCCCCGGCAGACTTCGGCTTCGCCCAGCACATGTCCCCGTGGGACGAGAAGCACGTGCTGCGCGGCTCGCCCCTCTACATGGCGCCCGAGATGGTGTGTCGGCGGCAGTACGACGCCCGCGTGGACCTCTGGTCCGTGGGGGTCATCCTGTACGGTGAGACCCCCGCCCCTGCCTGCACTGCGCATCACTGCCCAGTAGAGGGACCGGACCTAGTCTAGACCCCCGCCTCCCCTCGGCCACGTCCGCAGAGGCACTCTTCGGGAAGCCCCCGTTCGCGTCCAGGTCCTTCTCGGAGCTGGAGGAGAAGATCCGAAGCAGCCGGGTCATCGAGGTGGGTCCGGCAGGGGACGCAGGGCCTGCCCACCGATGGGGTCAAGGCCAGAGCAGGCTCGGGCCCAGCTTCCCCCAGCGCAGTCCGGGAGGGGGCGCAGGGCCTGAGCAGGCTCCTCCGCGCTGAGGGCTCCGTGCACAGTGGGGGGGTCCGGGGAAGGAGGCTTGTCCCTCTGGGTCTCAGTTTCTCCACCGTCAAGCATGGGCGCCCTGGGCCGGAGGAGCCCAGTGTGATGTGTCCCCGCCCCGCTCTCGGCAGCTCCCCCTGCGGCCGCCGCTCTCCCGAGACTGCCGGGACCTGCTGCAGCGGCTCCTGGAGCGGGACCCCAGCCGCCGCATCTCCTTCCAGGACTTCTTCGCCCACCCCTGGGTGGACCTGGAACACATGCCCAGCGGGGAGAGCCTGGCCCGAGCCGTGAGCAGGCGGGAGCGGGGGTGGATTGAGGGGTCCCGTCCGTCCCCTGGGTGGTGAGCAGGTGACTGGCCCCGTGAGGGCAGGGGGTGGACACAGACGTGGGCGGAGCGGGGCCCGACCCCGGCCCGCTTGCTCTGCAGACCGCCCTGGTGGTGCAGGCCGTGGCGAAGGACCAGGAGGGGGACGCGGCCGCAGCCTTGTCGCTCTACTGCAAGGCCCTGGACTTCTTTGTGCCCGCCCTCCACTGTGAGTCCTGGGCGGTGCCCCGTGGGTGGCTGTGGCTGTAGCTGCGCCGGACAGGTTCCGGGAGTGGCCCAGCAGGGGTTCCGTGGGGCATAAATGGGAACGTAGTGTTTCGGGGGCGCTGGGGGTTCGTGTGGACCTCCCAGACCCCTCGTACCAACACCCGCCTTCCACAGATGAGGTTGATGCCCGGCGGAAGGAGGCGATTCAGGCGAAGGTGTGTGCCGGGCTCCGTGGTGCAAATGGGGGGGGGGGCAGGGCCAGCAGCCAGGGCACCGAGGGCGTGGCTCTCCTAGAACCGGAACTTGCTGGCAGGGGAGGCCCTGAGGGCGGGCCTGGAGGTGGGAGCTGGTGAGAGGTGGGGTCCAGCCCCTCCTCAGCCCCTCGGCCCCCTGCAGGTGAGCCAGTACGTGTCCCGGGCGGAGGAGCTCAAGGCCATCGTGTCCTCCTCCAATCAGGCCCTGCTGCGCCAGGGGCCCTCTGCCCGCGACCTGCTCAGAGGTAGGCCCCGCCCCTGGCCCACCCTTCTGGTCCCTAGCACACCAGCCTGGGGGTGGGGGGCAGCAGGCTGGGGTCCGCTCCCCTCACCCTGAGCTCTGCCCCTCATCCCAGAGATGGCCCGGGACAAGCCACGCCTCCTGGCTGCCCTGGAAGTGTCTGCTGCTGCCATGGCCAAGGTCTGTGCGCCGTGGGGGTCCCGGTGGGGTGGGGAGGACTCCACGTCCTGACCCTGAGTGGCCTGGTGTCCCCCACGTGGCTGCAGGAGGAGGAAGCTGGCGGGGAGCAGGACGCCCTGGACCTGTACGAGCGCAGCCTAGGGGAGCTGCTGCTGCTGCTGGCAGGTGCGTCCCTGCCCTGCCCTGTCCCCGTCCCCGTCCCTGGGGCTGGCTGTCCCTGGCACGTGCACCCCTGCCCTGTCCCCGTCCCCGTCCTTGGGGCTGGCTGCCCCTGGCTCGTGCGCCCCTGCCCTGTCCCTGTCCCCATCCCTGGGGCTGGCTACCCCTGGCAGGTGCGCCCCTGCCCCGTCCATGTCCCCGTCCCCGGGGCTGGCTGCCCCGGGCAGGTGCGCCCCTGCCCCGTCCCTGTCCCCATCCCTGGGGCTGGCTGCCCCTGGCAGGTGCGCCCCTGCCCTGTCCCTGTCCCCATCCCTGGGGCTGGCTACCCCTGGCAGGTGCGCCCCTGCCCCGTCCATGTCCCCGTCCCCGGGGCTGGCTGCCCCTGGCAGATATGCCCCTGCCCCATCCATGTCCCTGTCCCCGGGGCTGGCTGCCCCTGGCACATGCACCCCTTCCCCATCCCCGTCCCTGGGGCTGGCTGCCCCTGGCTCGTGCGCCCCTTCCCAGTCCCCGTCCCTGGGGCTGGCTGCCCCTGGCATGTGCGTCCCTGACCTGTCCCTGTCCCTGGGACTGGCTGCCCCTGGCACGTACGCCCCTGCCCCGTCCCTCTCCCCGTCCCCGGGGCTGGCTGCCCCCTCACCGCCTGCCTTCTCTCTGCAGCAGAGCCCCCCGGCCGGAGGCGGGAGCTGCTTCACACCGAGGTGCCTGCTGGGCTGAGAGGGTTGGGGGCTTCTCTTCCCCTTGCTCTCTGCTCCTACCTGTGGGGACCTCCCTGGGTTCCCGGTGGAGTTCCCCACCCTCAGGTGTCCCAGGTGTGGGACAGGCCGTAGGGCTGCTGCAGACAGGAAGGCTTCCTGGAGGAGGGAGCGGGGAAGGGGCACGGGGGGCCCTGGAGAGCGTGGGGAGGAGTTGGGTAGGAGGCGCCTCACAGCCGTGGGCTTGTCTTCCCTGTGCAGGTCCAGACCCTCATGGCTCGAGCTGAGTACCTGAAGGAGCAGGTCAAGGTGGGTGCCTGGGGCCCAGGGGTGTGGGCCTGCCGTGGCCTGGCCGGCCCCCGCCCAAGGCCTCTCCACCCGTCTCTGTACCCTTCCTCCCGCAGATGAGGGAGTCTCACTGGGAAGCAGAGACCCTGGACAAAGAGGGGCTGTCGGAGTCGGTCCGCAGCTGTGAGTCCTGCCCTGGGGTCTGGCCCTCCACCTGGGGGTGGCCCTGGACTCTGCCTCTCTGGCCGGAAGCCTGAGACTGGCTCCACCGCCCCCCCCAGCTTGCACCCTGCAGTGACCGGGAAGACTGGATGGAGAGGCAGCCGCGCCAGGCCAGGCTGACGCCCAGGACTTGGTGCCCCTGCAGCCCGGGAGAGCCTCAGCTGGCACCTCGGGGACCCCGTGTCCCAGGGTCTACAGCCTCGCTCGGGACCCCCGCCCCGCAGAGGTGTGCCGGGGGCAGGACGCTGCGAGGAGAGGAGACTTTCTCCCGTGAGACCCGTGGGTCCTGACCCCGTGTGGCGGGCGCCCAGCCACGTGCACATCTGCTCTGAGAAGGGGCTGGGGCCTTGCGCAGGCAGCGGTGCCCTGCGTTCCCCCTTCCTCGTCTCCCTGCACTGGAACAGGGCCTGCCGAGCCCCTCAGGGACCACCCCCCCTCAGCCCTGCCCTGGGTTCCAGGCCCTGCCTGCCTCTCAGTACTACCAGTGCTCCTGCAGGCACAGAGCGAACTCCCTTCCCGGGGTGGGCTGCTCCTGCCCTGGGCCTGGTGCTGCTGTGACGCCAGCGGGTGACCCTGGCAGCCCCTTCCCGGGCTCACGGGGACAGAGGGGCTGACCCCTGGAGAAGGGGGCACACCTGGGCTCTGACAGAGCCGGGGCGTGGTGCCCGAGCCCAGCTGTACAGAATGCACTCTGTCGTTTCGCTAGTAAATTATTTTCTCTACTTGTGCAGCTCTTCCTGCTCACGGGCTGGGGTGGGTGCACCTGCCTCCCGTCCTCAGCCCCCGGGGACCCAAGAGGGTGCGGCTGGCCTGGGGTGCGTCGCTCTGTACCATACACTCCCAAGCCCTAGTTGGTGGCCCCTGGCCTCCCACTGCCCCCTCACCCTGCGCTGGTGAGAGCAGTGAACTGCATTGGGGGGAAGGCACCTTTTGGGGTGTCTTGTGCTCAGAGACCTCCAAGTGGTCACCCTTCCCTGCGGGCTCTGCCCTGTCCACCCACGTTTGGGTGTGACCAGCACTTTTGGGGAGCAGACCTGGGAACTTAGAGGTAGAGTTGGGGGGCACCTCCAGTGAGCCACTGGGGAACCCCTGAGAGAGCCCAGGAGCACCGTTACCCTGGGTGTTAGAGGACTGGCCACTGGGGGGCAGTGTGGAGCGGTGGCGCCCATGGCTGGAGGGGCGGCCACGGTGCTGCCTCAGCTCCCAAGCCCGGAACCTGGGGAACCACTGTGCAGTCTGTTTCCTTCTTGGTAGAACCAGGGTGAGGCCAAGTGTCCACGGGAGTCTGTGGGGAGGTGCTGTACTTGGGCCTGGCGTCCGGAAACAGGCCGGACAAGGGGCCTTGGTCAGGAGGCGGATGAAGAGCCCCGTGGTCTGCCACACTGGCTTCGAAGGGGTACAGAGGGGCGACCCAGGAGGCTGAGGCCAGCAGGGGCGCCCGCGGGCTGGGGACTGGGAGGAGGTGGCCAGTGCTGGGGCCTCTGCTGGCTAGGCCTGTGGGGAATGGGCAGACCCGCTCTTCAAAAGCTGTTTTTCCTTTTGGGGCGGGAGTTTGCACTTCTCACCTTCAACATGGGGCACACAGCACACCCCAGCCTTCCCTCCCACCTGCCCTCAGAGCCAGCCCTGGCCACTTGGCCCCTCCCCAGGAAGCAGTGGGCAGACTGAGGGGCCCAGTGTCCCCGTGCCCACCTGCCCCTCCCCCGGCTGGCTGGGGAGCCAAGGAAGGCCCGTCGGTCTGGGAAGAGGTCACCCAGAAGGATCCCTCCCGTGGGGAGTGGGCCTGGGGGAGGGGCGGGGACACGCCACTGCCCACTTCCCGAGGCAACTCCCACAGCACTCAGACCCTCACGATCCCGCAGGTGTGACAAGAGGCGGCTTCCACCTCTGTCCCCGGGACCCCGCCCCACTCCCAGCCCCTGCTCTCCTCAAGCCCCCACCCCACCCCAGCCTCAAGGCTGTGGGGCTGAGCCCCAGCTGGGTCAGCAGGCAGTGAGCTGCCCAGATGTCCCCAGTGCCTGCTGGGGGTCGTGTGTGAGGGAGCATCTGGCAGTGGGGACCGGGAGACCCTCCACCCTGCGAGCCCTGGCCACCCTCCCCTGCTCCTGCCAGGGACCACCTGTATCTGCGCCCTCCTTCCCCAGGGTCCTGGGCCTGAGCAGTCAGGATGGGTGCAAGGCAGCAGGTGGGGGCCCAGGGGCACCAGAGACCCCCCCAAAATCCTTTGTGAAGCAGAGCCACAGCCCCTGGGACGCTGGGGACCCGCTCAGGCGTCTGCTTCCCCTGAGAGAGCACAGGGGTGGGGTCGGAGGGGCTCTCTCACTGTCCTCTAGCATTTCCTGGGGGAGGGGGGGGCGCGAGTCCAAACCCTGGTGCTCTGATGGAGGGGTTTTGGCACCATGAGAGGGACGTTTTGGTGGCAGATGGTTTTCTTGGTGGCTTCATATCACACCGGAGGGGTGGGCCCCTGGGGAGCGCATGACTGTCTAAATGAGAGGTATAGAGGGGAGGGCAGGGCACAGCAAAGCACACACTCCCAACCCAGTTTCCTGCCCAGCGCACCCTAGGAGGCTCCAGTGACGCTGGCTCCCGTGGCTGGGTCCCTGCGCCCACGTGGGAGACCAGGATTGGGTACCCAGCTCCTGGCTTCTGCTCCATCCAGCCCCAGGCTGCTCTGGGGATTTGGGGAGTAGACAAGCATAGAGGATCTGTGTTTCTGTCTCTTTGTCTTTCAAATAAATGAAAATAAATAGAGGGCAGGAGACAATGAGTCCAGCATCCGAGGGCTTGGGAGAGGGCAGGTCAGCCCCCAGCAGGGAGCAAGGGCAGGAGGGGGAGGCACCCAGCCGCCTGCTCTCTGCCCATCTGAGCCCCAGACCCGGCCCCTCCCACCCCAGCACCTCCCCCACACCACTGCAGGCATTCTGCAGACAGGTGGGCTCCTTAGGGTCCCCAGGCTGTGAAGTGGGGACCAGTGTGGGGGCTCAGCCCCTCCCACTCCCCCGGCCCGGGGCCCCAGGCAGCCCGCTCTATGGGGTTCCGTGGATGCTGCCCCTCCCCAGCTCTTCCCCGCCCACCCACCCCCAGCCCTGCCAACCGCTGAGGGGGCGGGGTCTGTCCAATCCCATTAGGCAGAGGGCCCCTGGGGCGGCCTCCCTGCCTGCTGACACTGCCGAGCCGGGCTCTGACTCAGGTCTCCTCCAGCTCCACCAAGGTCAGGAGAGGTTGTCGGTGGCCACCAGCCCTTCTTGGGGGGATGCCGGGAGAAAGAGGCCCAGTGTGACGGCCCGAGCAGCCCTGTCCTCATCCTGCGTCCTCCCGGGCCTACCCCCTTGTCCGCCTACCCCCACCGTCCCCTCCAGCACAGCTGTGTGTCCCTCATTTTACACGGAGCCCTAAGGAAGCTCTGCCCTTGAAACCAAGCCTGGTGGCCATTCCCGCCTGTGACTCTTGGCTGCCTCCCCACAGGCCGGCACCTGGGCAGCAGCAGGCCATGGCCCCAGACCCTAGGGGGCCCCTGCACGGGTGACGGCTGAGATTGGAGAGTCCTGGTTCTGACGAATGACTGCTCTTGGGGACATGGAGCACTGCCCAGTTTGGGGCTGACTGGGCTCCCCGGGATCGGTGGAAGTTGGAGTCACCAGCAGCACTCCTGCCTGCTTCGCCTCCACGTCTGTTAGGCAGGCAGCTAGAAGTCAGCCTGTGCGGGAGGGGCCTGGGGAGGACCAACAGCTCGGAAGCACCCCAATATTTTACACTGCACAGTCCTGCCCAGACCCTGATAACTTCCCAGGTGGTCTCGGCCATTCCCCCAGGGGAAGCTCCCCAGGAGAGCCCTCTCCCCTCGGCATCAAATGGGGTATCAGGCACTCTAGGGGGGCTGCTGTGCCAGGTGGGCTCCCCAGTCTGATCGCACCGCGTACTGAAACCCGGGCAGCAGTTTCTCCTAATCTACACTCAGCAAACCCTTTGTACTGGAGGCGGGGGTGGGGGAGGAATAGACCCCCTTAAAACCCAGCCTAAGTGAACCGGGCACTGTCTCTCAGGCTCTGTCTGAAGAGGTGCCCATCCAGTCTTACGGATGCCCTGGCCCCAGTAAAACCTTGCCGCTTTGCCCTCCACTGCTCTCTGTCTCACTCCTGAATTCTTCCTTGCGCGAAGACAAGAACGCTACACTCATCTCCGCTAACACTTCCATCTCCAAAATGAGGAGGTGGGACAGGCACGGGGCCCCAGATGGCTGTGGTTGAGCTGTGGCCTCCGGTGACGCCTGTCTGCCCATGAGCAACCCCGTCTACAGCTGCATGCCAGCCCTGGGTCCTCCCGCCCCAGTCACTGGACCTAGAGCCATGCCAGGCTGTGCCGGCGGAGAGCCTGCACACCTCCTAGGGGCTGCCGCTGGGCGGGGCGGTGGGGGGCTGGCCCGGAGGGCTCCTCCCAGCAGAGACGCCCTTCCTGGGGACAGGCGCGGGGGTGGGGGGCGGGGGGCGGGAAGAAGTGGAAGGCCAGCACATCGTGGGGGTCTTTATTCGTCACTGAGCTGGGAGAGAAGACTCCAGCTATGGAATCCAGAGAGAATTCTACAGGAACAGAAATGAGCTGGGCCCTGGGCCCAGACAAGGCCCAGAGCCGCCTGGGCCGCTGTTCCGTGCCAGCTTCATCCTTGGCGCCGCGCCCCTCGCACAGCAGCGCCTGGCCCCCTCGAGGCTGTGCCTGCAGCTGCTGCCCTGAACAGGGACGGGAGAGGCTGGGAGGCCCTCCACACCTGCCCGGCCCAGTCCCACTTCACAGAGGACAGAATGAGGCCCAGGGGGCAGAGACTTTCAAAGATCATCAACGAGAAAATTGGCGCTCCAGCCTCCTGTCTGCAGAGGGCGACCGCCCAGAGCCCCCCCGGGAGCATCCGAGTGTCGGGGTCCAGAGGGGCTGGCCTGGGCGTGGCGCGTCTGCCCAGCGTGGGCTCTGCCCTCGCGTGCTGGTGTGCTGGGTCCCTGTGTGGCTCTCACATGTGCTCCCGGGTGCAGGAACGTGGGCCTGGCCCTACACTCCCCAGAAGCCTTCCCCAGGCTGAGCGGAGGGTGGTCCTGGGGGCTTTGCTCCCAGAAGGCCAGCTTGGAGCTTGGATGAGATGGGTTCCGGGGCTAGGGCGGGGCGGGGAGAACAGGGCCCCAGGCGGGGTGTGGGTCCCTTGGGGGGCTGAGACACCCTGAGCCCTCCTGTGGGCAGCCCCAGGGACAGCGGTCACATGATGCAGCACTTTTCAGCTGACTGCTTGAGGTCCCCCAGGGTGGCCTGGGCCTTGTCCTTGATGGAGCCGAGGTCCAAGCCAGGGAGGCTGGCCAGCTGCCCGAGGACGGAGGCCTTCTCCTCCTCTTCTTCCGTGTCCTCCTCGATCATCTTGGCCAGCTCCCGGGGCAGCTCCACATCTCCCCCCACCATCTGGATCTGGCTCTCGTCCGTCTCGTTCTGGGGGGTGAGGGGGAAGGCCGGTCCATGAAAGGGCAGGAGGGGGCTTCCTGACCCCTAGGCTCTCGAGACTGGAGGATCTGCCAGGGAGTAAGGAGGTGGAAACACCCAGCCGGGAGTCCCACTGCTACCGTCAGCTCAGGCATGTGCTGGCTGTCGTCAGCGACACAGAGGGCACAGCCGAGGACGGCACCATCGTCCACCACGCACCTGACAGACGGACAGCCCTGTGAGGTGGGTGTTGCTACCTCCGCTTTACAAATAAGGAGCCTGAAGCTCAGATACATGAGCAGCCTGCCTGAGTTCCACACGTGGCGGGCAGGGGAGCCACTGTCGTGCAGCGGTGAGCACCGCATCTGTGGTCTGCAGGACGCCCAGTAAGGGCCGCTGCACCTCCCTGGCCTGTCCAGCTGGGTCCCGCGCAGTGGCATCCAAGTCCTGCCTCTCCTACTGGCACAGAGTTCCATGGTGGAAGGAACCAGTCCGCCCCTAGCTGGGTTTGTGGGCAGGCTCCCCTCTGAGAGCCTTCAGGACCCTGGTGCCCTGTGGGGAGCCCAAGGTGTGGCTGGGGGGGAGGGGCGGCGATAAGTGCAGCGGAGGGAATGTGACATTCAGAGTTGATCTTGGATTCCAGCAGAATGGAGCTCTGTGCGTCCAGTCCCCAGTCAGAGGCGAGCACAGTTCTGGGCACACGGAAAGGAGTGGCCGAGCAACCATCCTGAAGCAGACTTACACGGAGAGGAGGGAAGGGGCTCTCTGTGCGCAGACCCCAGGCCCTGGAAAGCAGCCCCCGGCCCAGGCGCAGCGGGCTCAGGATTCAGAGCCCAGAGCGGCCTCCGCCCACCCACCCTCCGGCTGCATCACTCTGCCCCATGACCCCAGCTAAGCCCCTTAATCTCTCCGGGCCTCCGTTTCCTCATTTGTTGCTGTGAGAGTCAGCCCTCCCTGGCAGCTGCACGGGGAGGGCAGGGAGGACAGGAAGGTCAAGGACCCGGGACAACACAGACAGTGACCTTTCTTTCCCAGCTGGCCCTCCAGGTGTGTTTGGAAGCACCCCACTCCTACCCCACTCCTCTGAGCACCCACCCCTTCAGTAAGGTCCACCACCTCCGGCTGGGGAGGACAGAGGTGGCGAGAAAGGACGGGGTTTGCTCCAGAAACTAACAAACAAACAACCTGTCCATCTCCAGAGGACTTTACCCCCTCAGCATCAAGCTTTGTCCCTGGGCAGGCACCTGCTCACATCAAGTGAACGAGTGAGGGAGAGCCGGATCCACCGAGCACCGTGTCGGTCTTACCCAGGCTGAGCGATGCTGCAGAAGGAGCCTGGCAGGTGCACCCCGCTTACCTTGGGCAGCCGGTATTTGTCTCGGAAATGACTCCGCAGGGTGGCACGCTCTGCCTTCCTCTGTGCAAACTGGGCGTCCCTCTCCATCCTGCCGGGCACGGGGGAGGGGGTGTCACTGCCAGGGATGAGCGAGGGGTCTCGAGCCCCCAGGGCCGCCTGCAGCAGTCCCACCTGTGTGTAGCCAGGGAAGTCCTGCCCAGCTGTGGGGTCTGTCCTTGTCCTAGCGCCCATTGTCCCACTGGATGGGTCGATCTGGCTCTTGCCACAGACCCTAAAAGTTCCACACATCACACCTGCTCTCTCCTCCCTGCCCGTGAGGCTGTGCCATGGCAAGGAAAGCATTGAGACAGGCTTGGAGCCACCACCGCGTTAGGGATGTCCTTGGGGAAGTCATTTACCTTCCCTTCTGTAAATTGGGGATAAGAGTTTGCAATTTACACCGGGTTTTCAGGACTAAGAGAAATGACAGTGATGCTTAGCAAGGACACCAGGTGCCGGTTACTGTGCTGAGCAGTTTGCAAGCATCAAGTCATTTGCCCTTCAACACGTAGGGTGGACACTGTCACAGAGAGGTTCAGAAACTTGCCTAAAGTCACCCAGCAGAATCTGAACCCTAGCAGCCTAATCGCTCCGGGGTCCAGCCCCAAGCCCACCGGAGCTGCCCTTCCAGCACTGGGCAGTGGGGGGCGGGGGTAGGCAGGGTCACTGCCTGAGAGTGCCCCCATCCCGACATCAGCTTCCCACCGCCCAGGGCTCCCCTGCTTCTCAGAGCCCCAGCGGGGAGAAGACGCAGGCGGCTGGGACCAGATCGGATTAAGGGATTACTGGTTCTGTCAGAAATGCACGTGCACCCCCTTCCCCATCCCAGGCCCCTCACTCCTCCTGAGCAGGAGTAGAAGCTGGAGCAGGGTCCTGGAATTGAGACTGGGTGACTCCGGGGACAGCCTAGAGGGCAGGGACCCGCCCCTAACACTATCTACCAAAGTGGGATGAGGGCTTCGGGGCTCGAGTCCGTCCCGCGCGGGCAGAGCCGGCGGGAGCGGGCGGGCGGGTGGGGGGTCGCCGGAGCCGGGAGGGGGCCCCCACTTACTTCTCCTCCACCAGTTGCCTCTGGTACTCCTCGTACTCCTCCCGGCTCATGCCCTGCGCCTCGGCCGCCGACTTGTCCCCGTCTCCCTTGTCCTCGCCGCCCCCCAGGCTGCCGGTGAGGTTCTTCAGCTGGCCGCCCACCATGGTCTTCACCATGAACGCCATGGTCTTCGCGGGCCGGGCGCCGGCCACGTCCGCACCTGCTTCAGCACTGGGCCCGCGGACAGCGCCCGCCGCGCGCGCTCGCCGGCGCCGCCCGCCCCCGCCTCCGCCCCCTCCCCAGAGGGGCGGGGGGCACGCACGGGGCCGGGCGGGCGGGGCCACGTGCCCGCTCCCCACTCCCGCCTCTCCCACGTGCCTCCCTCAACGCCAGCTCCGCCGAGCACCGCGGACCGCGCATCTCGGCGCGCGGTGGGTGGTAGGGTGTCCTCCGGGAAAGGGGCTGTGCGGACTCCTGCTCCCCTCTTGGGTTTCGGCAGGGAGGTGGGGTAGCAGCCTGGGGGCAAAAACCTTGCCTTGAACTCCACCCCGTTTCCCCCGCCCCTTTCCCCACACCCCCACCCCGACCCCAGCAGCTGCCCAAAGAGCTTGACAGGGAATGGGGGGAGACCCGAGAGCTGGAGCCCGAATCCCAGTTCAGGCTCTGGGAGCGGGGCCGGGGGAGGGGGAGGGGCTCCCAGGGTGCTCGCTCCTGCACCTGCCCTGCTGCCCCTGGAGCTGCGGGGGGTGGGGGTGCGTGGGAGATGCCTCTCCTTGTTCTGGGTGCGTTTGGGGAGAATGATACACACATGTGGCTCCTGCTGCCCCTATAAGTGCAGGCGTTTGAGGGGTCAGTCCATCCCTTGGCCTCACACACACCTCGCTCCCTACCCAGAGGAGGCGGACGCCTTTGGGAGAGATCAAGGGGAACCTGGGAGGTCAGTGATGGTGTCAGAGCTTGGGGAGGCAGGGATCACTTTTAATAAGGCGGGAGCTTGCCAGCCGCTGAGGTGTGAGCGGGAGCTGGGCACACAGAAGACGCCACGCTGCCCACTCGCCAGTGAGAAGGGGCTGTGGTCAGGCTTGCGTGTTGGGGGAGAGGGGCTGCCTCCTGAGAGCCCCCAGGGCGCTCGCGATGTGTGGGGCAGGGCCCTGAGGAAGGCCGCCTCTGGACAGACACTCCCGAAAGCGCTTGTCCAGCTCCTGTCTGCAGCCAGAGAGAGAAAGGGGACCTGAGTCTCGGTCTTCCGCGCTTTTGAAACCAAGCCCCCTACACTCACAGCACCACTGCCCCCTCTGCCTGGGACCGGCCGTGGCTCCCTGGGCCTGCCATGTAGGTGCACGCTCCCCCCCCCCACACCCGCCGGGTTGAAGAGCTGTCCCAGGCTTCCTGCCATGTTGCACCCCAGTGCACGTGCCCCAGCCTGTGTCCGTGACCACCTGTGCCTTCTCTACACGTCACTGCACTTCCGGGGCCACGGCACAGCCCCACGGATTTTTCTGGACTTGAAATCTCACCACCTTCATTCCTGAGGCCCTCGGCACACCCCACACCTCTAAGCAGCGCACACTCACTCCACAAACACCCCCCCAGCAGAAAGAGTGCCCCCACACCTCTCTAACTCGCTCTCTGCCCCAGTTCACAAACTGCTCCTGCCCTGTGCTCGAACAAGACTTGCGCTGTTTCTCCAGCGTGCTGTGCTGTGTCCGAGCCCCATGCCTTTTGTCACACTGTCCCCCGGGCATCCTATCTTGTAAGCTGAGAATCTTCTTGTCACCTGATGACCCTGATCAGGTGTCCCTTGCAGGCTGGGTCAGGTGCTTTGTGCCACACTCCCATAGACCCTGAACTTCCTGCGGGCACGGCCCTGGTGGCCCATGTGGGTGTCTGAGAACTGTGTGAGAGCAGGCCTCGGACCGGGCAGGGCTCTGTGCCTGGTCAGACAATGGGCCCCAACCTGTGTTGTCTTGCTCCTTCCCTGAGGGTGAGCTGGGCAGCTGCCCTCTGGAGCCCAGCGCCCCCTCTCCAATGGACAAGCTACAGCCCAGCACCAAGGATGCCTGTGGCACAGGAAGCCCTGCCCAGGGAGAGCCCACCTGAAGTGGACGTAGCAGAAGAAGGCCACAGTCTGGGCGAGGAGGAAGAGCAGGAGGACGCTGGGCCGCAGGCAGGAGGAGACCCCTGGGCACCCGCCGGGCTGGCAGGGGGCCTGGACTGCTGTCTTCTGAGAGGGCAAAGGGAGGGGGCTGGAATCTGGGCCATGTGCGGCCCTGTGTCTCCCCGCCCCAGGCTCGGGGTGCCCTGGCTGTTATCCAAGGAGCCTGGAGGAGGGGCAGCAGACGAAGCCGCCTCCCCTACCCGAGCTCCCACGGCTCCATCTGTGGGAACAGCTGGGAAGGCCCAGGGCCTGGGATCCTCAGGGGTCAGAGGCTCAAGAGAAGAGGGGGAGACGCTGACAGCACCAGGCAAGGAGGAGGGCGAGGGGAAGGCCGAGACAGGGCAGGGGCTCTCCTGACAGCTCCTCCTGCCTGGTCACTGAGCGCTGTCCCTGCTCCCACCCTGCTCGGTCTCCATCCCTGCAGAGAGCTGCACACCCAGGCAGACAGGCAGGTGCGCCAGGGGTCCTGGGAGAGGGGCGTCTGGGCTGAGCCCGGGGAGGGGCTCCCCCCTCCCCCGCTGCCTGCCCCTCACCACCACACTCCGCAGGTCCGTCTGCAGGAGCCCGAGGGTCTGCCTCAGCTCTGAGAAGTGGTGCTTGGTGCCCACGGGCAGGAAGGAGACCCGTGCTCCCGAGGCCATCAGAGCCGCGGCATCCCTGGCAGGGGGAGAGCGGGGGAGCTGCAGCCAGAGGCCCTCGTCCTTCCCTGCAATCGCCAGCGGTGGCCACACAAGGCACACGGACGGGCCCCTTCTTTCCGCCCCGGACTTTCTTCCTGCAACCTGAGACAGCTCTCCCTGAGCGAAGGCTCTCCCGGAGCTGTCTCAGCCCCAGGCTCCCCTGGGCCCTGCCTTCCATCCCAGCCCACTGGGCAGTCAGCTCCTCTCCCTCCTCCCTTGCGTCAGCCCCAGGCGTGTGCACGTGTGGGGCGGGTGGTGTTGGGTGCCAGCCGCAGGATCCGCACTATGCAGGGGCTATCCGAGCCCGGGGCCCCGTGGGCAGCTCTGGAGGCCGGGCTCGCAGTGGGAGGCGGGGAGGCCAGAGCAGGGCCCGGTGAAGTTGGGGACTGTCTCCTCCCACTGGCCTGACCCCAGCCCGGCTCTTTCTGAAAACCCCATCAGAACACTCCCTCCTCCTTCCAAGCTAAAGGAAGGCTCCTGTGTACTAATCCCCCCGGGGCTGCGGGTGGACAAGTCGCTTTTGAACAAGGACTTGGAATCCTTAAACTTGGTTCCATTCAAATCCAGGTCAGCTCAGCAAACCTCACCCCACCTCCAGCCCTGCCAGTTCCCAGGCTTGGTACTGGGCGGTGAGGGAGGGAGGGGAGGCGAGCAGGGGTGGGGGGTGCACTTCAGGCAGCAGAGCGACTTGATGGGGGCTTCTCCTCCCTCTCCCTGCCCCCCTGCTCCCCTGCCCCTCACCGCATCTCTCGCAGGGCCTGGAGCAGAGTCCGCTGTCCACAGAACAGGGTGCTGAGCTGGGCAGAGTCCTGCGGGAGGCCAGCCCGTTGTCCAGGGTCCGGGTCACAGCCCCTGTCTTCTCAGAGCCCCTGGCCCAGGGAACACAGGCCCCCCGCTCCTCCTCCCAGCGGTGTTAGCCCATCACCTGCACTCTCCTATTTGGACACCTGGTGTTTATCTGACGCCCGTCCACCTGGGCTGCTGGAGCTCCCTGCAACCCCTCTCCCCAGGGGTGCCTCTCCCTTCCCTTCTAAAGGGGTTCTGCCCCCCACCCGGGAGTCTCCTTTGCCTCCTTCTTCCCCCAGGGCGGCTTCCAAGCTGGGGCCAGTGCTGATCAGCACCACCACCACCCCCCGCAGCCGCCGCGCTTGGGTCCCTATCCTGTGACCTGGAGAGGGGCCGTCCCTCTTGGGGATGGACGATGGAATCTGGTTGGAGGGGTCCGGGGAGCCCCTCCCCTCTGAGCCACTCTGGCTCAAGGACACAGGATGGAGCCCTCATGCTGTCACAGCCCGGCTGCCCCCTGTGCCCAGTTCCTACCACCTGGGCCGCTACGGCCCTCAGGGCCCCTCTGGGCTGGGCCTGCCCTGGGCATGGATCCCTAGGGAGCCGCCGGGATGGCAGCCCCGCTGAAGCCGGGTTCTGGTGCAGCTGAGCGTGAAGCGAGCCGTGTGCACGCCGCGTGCTCCAAGCAGATTAGCACCTGGTCTATTTCTGCCTTCTCCCGCAGCCCCCGCGTACCTGGCCTCCTTCGCTCTCCCAGCCCCAGCTGCACCTGCCCTGCCTGTCCCTGCAGGCCCTGGAGGAGACCAGCCCCCGGCTGGAGCACTTGTTCCTCTTCCAGGCAAATCAGAGCCCACTTGGCGCTGGACCAGGCCTGCAGGTGGAATCTTGGACGCCCGAGGGGCCACTCACCCAGCCTCCCTCTGGCCGGACCTGGCCTGGGGCCCCCAGCTGCTGCTTCCACTGCCTCCGTGCCTGGGCCAGCTGCTCAGAGAGACCCCCGAGGGCCTGCAGGACCCGGCTGTGCCGGCTGAGGCTCTCCTCCAGGTCACTGAGCCTTTCCCCTGGGGGGTGGGGCAGAGCTGGGTCAGGCAGCCCGTGGGGTGGGGGCGGGACAACAGCCTACCTGGGGGTGGGGCTTCTCAGGGAGGGGCACCAGGAGGTGTGGCTTCTGCCTGGAAGACCTGCCCCTGGGAAATGTGCCCGGGGGTGTGTTGGGCCCAGCCCCCAGGCCTCCCTCGCCCCATTGGTTACAGGACTCCTGGTTCCAAGGGAAGATGCTCCCCTGCCCCAGCTGCCCACTCCCCGGGTCCCCACCCCCGCCCTGGGCACCGGAGTCCGGCTTCGGAACGACGTCCTCCCGAGCGCCCAGGGCCAGGGTTGCCCGCAGCGCCTCCAGCCGCCTGGCCAGGCGGAGCTGCTCCGCCTCTGGGAGTGGCTGCGGGGGAGCCTGGGCGGGGAGACAGGAAGTCCAGCTGGAACCCAGGGGAGGTCCAGAGGCAAGGACGCCCTCCCGCCGCCCCGCTCCCTGCTCACTGACAGCCAAGCTCCAGGCAGGGGAAGAGACCTGATTCCAGCTCCCAGCCTCTGCCCCACCCCCGCCGGGCCCCATGCCCTTGTCCACACGGCTCCTACAAGCTCAGGTCCCACAGCCTTCTGTGGCCCCTGGCTGGTCCAGACCCCATCCTCACGCCCCCACAGCCCCTGCGCCTGCTGGTTTCCGGCCCCCAGTTCCCTCCGCTCTGAGCTGCCAGCCTGGGAGGCCGTGAGGACAGGGCCTGGCCCCCGCACGAGGCCTGAGCAGAACTCCGAGATCCTGCGTGGCAGCGCTGGGGAGGTGTTGGTCACCTCCGGGCCCGGCTCGTGCAGACTGTAGGTCAGGAAGGCCAGGACGTCGTGGTCATCTGGAAGGCGGAGGCAGGGGGAGGTGGGCCCCCAGCCAGCACCCTGCCCAGGCACCCTGCCAGGCAAGCACCCGGCAGGAGGTAGGGCCCGAGAGCTGAGCCACGCCCTCAACCAGAGACAGCCCCCAGCACGTGGGGCAAATGGACAGTCCAGGTGCCCCCTGGCACATCCTGGGCTGGAGCGGGGACCACGCAGCACCCTCCGGGCCCAGGCCTCGAAGCAGCCCCTCGTTCAGCCTGGCTCTGATGTCACTCCTCCTCAGGAACCTTCCATGGCTCCCCAGTGCCCAGAGTCTAAAGCCCAGATCACTGCAGCGCCCTCATAAGGATGTGATGAGGGTTAACCAAGCCAGCAAGGGGTGGCGCCCTGTATACCGGGTGTACGGTGCCCGGTGTAGAGTAAGCTCCGCACCACGGACGCCAGCAGTTCAAGGACTCCGAGCTCCAACTGCACCCTGTTCTTCAGCAGGTGCCCCCTAAATGTCCCCACGGCTGTCCCTCTTCTGCTTGCCCACGTACATCCAGTTGGGGTGGGTGCACACAGTGGGGAAGTGGCTCAGCCCCCCTTCGGGGCTCTCTAGAACGCTGGCTGAGCTGGAGTTGCTAAGCACCGCCCCCCACCCCCCCTCACCTGCCTGGAGGGAGCCTCACCTGCCAGGGTGCTAGTGGCTGCCGAGACCCCAAAGAATCCTCCAGGGGCCAATAGCAGGGGCCCCACCTCGACACAGACCTCATCAGGGTCGTGGGGAGTGAGGCCGCTGTTGGAGGATACCTGCAGGGCACGGAGGAGTGGAGGCAGTGAGCCCCTCCCTCCTCTGCGGAGCAGGGGGGGCAGGACATCCACCCCACCTCTGACTCCCTGGTCCCCGCCCACCGGCCCGCAGACTGGAAGGACGTGTGTGCAGTGGATACTGGGGCTCCGGGTGTGGGGGGGGGGCCTGTGTGTGTGTTGGCCTGTGTGTGCCAGGGACCCCGGGCATCCGTCACCTAGATGGCCCGCCACGGGGCAGGGCACTCACACGCAGTCTCTGTCCCCAGTAGGTGATCCGTGCTCTGATGGGGTATGGCCGGTTCCGGAAGTCCCGGCGACAGAGGCCCAGCACCCGGCTGGCCCCACCCCTGTGGGCACTTGGAATGCAGCAGGCCACAAAGGACCCAAGACCGGGCCAGTGGCCAGCAGCTTCTCTGCCCAGGCCTACAGTGCCGCCCCCTGTCCCCTACACACTGTCTACTCCAGTGTCCCTTGCCGTGGTTTCTCACTGAGGAGGAAGCAAGCCCCGGTCAGCTGAGTGTTGGGCCCTGCCCCCTATAGAAGGGCCAGGGGTCTCCCTGTGACCCCACCCCAGAGGGCAGAGGCCCGCACTGCCAACAGCAGGGTGTGCGCCCGCCATGCCCCCGGAGCCCGTCCCTCCCCACTGTCCTCCCTTCGGCCCAGGTCCCCCGGGCAGGGCTTCTCTTTCTTCCCCTCTGTGATGAGGGGACAAGTCCTAGCAGACAAGGACAAGGTGGCCAGCCCCTCCCTGCCTGGGGAGTGGGAGAGCAGCCGGAAGGGAGCCCTGAGCTTTGCGTTTCTCTGGGCACCGTGGGCAGCTCACCCCAGGGCACCCATCGCTGCCGCCTTCAGCCAAGAGGGAGGCAGGGGCACAGAGCAGACGGGAAGCCCGCCCCAGCGCTGCGTGACCTTGGGCAGCCGCCTCACCCCTCCCCGCCCGCGTCCTCGGCTTTATGAGGAGGAGACTAACTGCCGCGACCTCGTAAGGATGTGATGAGGGTTAACCGAGTCAGCAAGGGGAAGGTAGAGGGCTCTGTGCCCGGCGTTGTGGATGCCAGCAGTTATTCTAATTGTTACAAGCCAGGGGCTGTTTGCTGAGGGCACTGGCAAACCGGCCCAGCTACTGGGGAGGGCGGAGAGCCACGTCAGCTCTGTCATCCAGAACATGGGAGAGGCCCTGCTGGGGCCCACAAGTCCGGGCTCTGGTCTCAGCCCTGCCAGCGGCTCTGTGTCCTCGGGCCAGCCACCTGCCTCCCCTGGGCCTCAGAGGCCTCGGCTGATCCCCACTTACCAAGGGCGTGGGGGGAAGAGGGGCCCTGGGGTGTGAAATGGTCATTCCAGGCCCGCCCCTGTCCTGCCCCTTGGCACTGGGGCGGGGCGGGGAGCTCAGGGGACTGAGGGCTCCCTGGGCCACCTGCGAGCAAACTGGTCTTGGGGCCCCGGAAGCCTCGCTGAGGCTGTGAGCGGAAGTCCCGTCCTGGGGGCAGCCGGCAGCTCAGAGTGGGAGGCCAGCGAGGATGGCGGTTTGGAGGCTGGGGGCCCGGCGGGGCGGGGGCAGGAATGCAGAGGGTAACACAGGGGGCTCCTGCCAGACCCTTACCCGAGCTGTGTGCTGGGGCTGTGCCCGTCACCAGCCAGCACGCGGATGGCAGGGCTGTCCTGTGTGGGAGGCGACCATCAGCCGAGCCGGGCACAGGTGAGGCTGGGGCGCAGGTGGGGGCAGGAGGCGTCCACTCACCTGGGTGTCCCCGGCCGAGGAGTCCAAGAGGATCCCGATGCCGTCCCACGAGGCTGGCCCCCCCAGGACAGAGCCCACTCGGCCCCTTTCCCGCGTGTACCACACAGCCTGCAGGGCCCCAGCCCCAAAGTCAGGGCTCCCTGCAGGCCGCAGGAACCCCGGGCCTATGGCCCCCTCCCTGCCTCGCCCTCCCCCTGGGCTCCAGGTCAGGTGGGGGAGGGGAGGCACTCACCACACCCTGGGCCCCCCGGCGCCCCGGTCCCGTCACCCTCAGCTGCACCTCCACCTCCCAGGCAGACAGCAGGACAGGGACCCTGCTCCACACGGCGCCACCCCGGTCCCTCAGGGACGGCGCCAGGCGCACTTCGTCCAGGCCCAGGATGGCATCTGTGGACAGCACAGTTCAGGGTCCCCCTGTGCTCATAAGAGTCCATCTTACAGGTGAGCAAACTGAGGCCTCGGAGGGACGGGAAGGGCCTGGGAGCGCAGCCAGGGAGGCCTCCGACTTGTCCGCTGGGGCCACGCCCGGCTTCCGGGAGAGCGGAGGAGGGTAGGAAGGCAAAGGGCAGAGGTGGGAGCTGCCCGCCCGACAGTGAGGAAAGGGCAGAGGAAGGGAGGGAAACTGAGGCCGGCTCGGCAGGTGCGGGGTAGGGGGAGTCGGGGGCAGAGCTCCAGCTGCTCCCCACCCCCTGGCCTGCCAGCCTGGACGCTGGCCCGGGGCCAGGCCGTGCAGAAGCTGCTGATCCAGTGTGTGCTCTGCAGAGCCCAGGAGTGGGGGAGGGGTGGGGAGGCAGGAGCTCCCGCAGTCAGCCCTGCACAGGCTCCTGGGCCCTGCTCAGCCCTGCATGTCCTGGCTGGACCCAGGGGCGCCAGGTGGGTTTGCTAAAAGGCCAGATTAATCAATCAGCAGGCAGGCAGGTCTCACTGGGTGACCTTGGAGAATGTGGCTCCACCCCTCCCCGCCACTGGCACCTGTGACACCCCCGACTGGGCAAGCCCCCCCACCCCCAGCAGCAAGGGAGGCACAGGCGGGCCTGGCTCTGTGCCGCTGTTGGGGGCGGGAAGAAAGACCCTGGGGCCAGGCCACCCGCCTAGAGGGGTCTTTGGTTCTGGCTTCTGCCGGGAATCGTTCCTGTTCTGAGAACCTACACCTCATGGACAAAAACACGCAGCTGATCTGCTTTCTCTCTTTGCTCTGCCCTCTAGGCAGCTCTGAAGGAAAACCGTGGCCTACCTCTGGGGTGGGCAGAGCTCAGAGCGGTGTGGGTTTGCAACAAGCAGCTCCTCTCACACCCCCTCTAGCCCGAGTCCCATTCTTCCGGCTCTCGCCTCTGCCATGGGCCTCCACAGATCCCTTGCCAACAAGACCAGGTGGGAAGCAGACTGGGTGGGTCTGGTTGGGGGGGCTCTGAGCACAGACCAGTGGGCTGGATGCCCCTAAGCTCGCTTCCACCCTGGCACACACACGGGGTGAGAGGTGGGTAGCTGGTCCCTTTCGGACAGAACAGCAGACAGGAGGGGCCGGGCAGGTGGGGGCTTGAGGTCTGAGAGGCAGAGGAAGGGGAGGGGTCCAGGAGAGGGGAGGGGGAAAGTCGGAAGCAGACAGGGGAAACTGAGGCGGGGTGGGGGGGTAGGAGGAGCAGGAGCGAGTCTGGGAGGGCCCCCTGGGCAGAGGCTGGCCCTGGCACACCCACTGCGTACCCACTGCACACTCTGAGGTCCCCGCGCCTGGCCCTCACCTCCATGGTGGCTCCAGAAAGACATCCCAGCCCCAGGCGGTGCCAGTCCCGGTCCTTTGAAGCTGAGTTTGTACTCAAACCTGCGCCGTGGAGCAGCGGCCCCCGCAGGGCCCAGGAGGAGGAGGAGGAGGAGGCCGAGTGAGGGCCCTGGCCCACGGGTCCCCGGCATTGTGCAGGGAGCTGAAGGCCTGGCCCTGCGGTGGATCGTGGCTGCGAGGCCGGGGAGGGGCTCCTGGGGCCGGGCCAGGCGGGGAGGAGCTGGGTTCTGGCCCTCACCTCTCCCTCCGCCCCCCCTGCACAGACATCCGGTTCCTTTTTGACCCTATGCCCCCTGCTGCCTGCAGCCTGACCCCTCCCCAGCAGCCCAAGCCCCCTGGCCGCTTCCCCTCCGCTCTGGCACCCCTCCCTGGCAGCCCCGGCCTGTCCCCGCTAAGGGAGATGGGCCTCTGTGTCCTGCTGCTCCCTGCATGCCAACGCCGCCCCTCCCCCACTCCCAGAAGCCATCCTTGCCAGCACCCCGCCTTCCTTAACAAGTGCCCTGGGAAACCGGGCCTGGAGAGACAGAGCAGGGGCCGGCGCCGTGGCAGGTTAAGCCCCTGCCTGAGATGCCGGTGTCCCATAGGCGTCCGGGCCGCCCCACTTCTGACCCAGCTCCCTGCTGATGCGCCTGGGAAAGCCTCGCACCCACGTGGGAGACCCAGATGGAGTTCTGGCTGGCTCGGGGCTTCAGTCTGACCCAGCAGCCAGAGCGGGAGTGAACCAGCAGATGGAAGATCTGTCTCTCCCTCCCTCTCTCTGTCAACTAAATAGAGAGAGCAAATGAATGCAAGATATATGCCTTGTTTGGAGCTTAAATGTTTAAAAAAGATTTATGTTATCTATTTGAAAGGCAGAGCACTAGGGAGAAACACTGGTTCATTCACAAAACGGTCACAACAGCTTGAAGTGGGTCAAGCTGAAGCCAGGAGCCAGGGACTCCATCCAGGTCTCCCAAGTGCTTGAGCCACCACCACTGCCTCGCAGGGTGCACGTTAGCAGGAAGCTGGGGCAGAAGCAGAGCAGCCAGGACTCGAACCGGCGCTCTGATCCGGGCTGGCGGTGTCCCAAGCAGCGGACCCACAACGCTCACCCTTGGGTGTCAATTTTAACCCAGCAACTGGGGAAAAAAAAGTGTGTGGGAGGATACCATTGCAGAAATTTAAACAATAGATTTAATTCTATTAAATAATTATTGTTAAAATTATTAGGAATATCATGGTATTGTTACATTTTAACTCTTTTTAATGTTTATTTATTTGAAAGGCAGAGTGAGAGGGAGAGGGTCTGCTGGGTCACTCCCCTGATGGCCACAACAGCCAAGTCTGGACCAAGCCAGAGCCAGGAGCTCTATCCAGGTCTCCCCCATGGGTGGCAGGGACCTAAATATCTGAGCCGTCCCCCGCTGCTTTCCCAGGCGCACGAGCAGGGAGCTGGATCAGACACGGAGCACCGGGACTCACAAGCGGCGGCTGAACCCACTAACCCACTGGGCCACACTGCCTGTCTGTCTGGCTATATTTCTTTATATATATATATATATATATATTTTTTTTTTTTGACAGGCAGAGTGAACAGTGAGAGAGAGAGACAGAGAAAGGTCTTCCTTTGCCGTTGGTTCACCCTCCAATGGCTGCCGTGGCCGGCGCACCGTGCTGATCCGAAGGTAGGAGCCAGGTGCTTCTCCTGGTCTCCCATGGGGTGCAGGGCCCAAGCACTTGGGCCATCCTCCACTGCCTTCCCGGGCCACAGCAGAGAGCTGGCCTGGAAGAGGGGCAACCGGGACAGAATCCGGCGCCCCGACTGGGACTAGAACCCTGTGTGCCGGCGCTGCTAGGTGGAGGATTAGCCTAGTGAGCCGCGGTGCCGGCTGTGGCTATATTTCTAAAAGAAGGCGCTTCATGTCTGTGGGGAAATCTCTAAAAAGAAGTGCAGGGTGGGCATCTGGCCTGGCAGCGGGGCTCCAGGTAAGGTGCCCCCGTGCACGCTGGGTATTTGAGTGCCACCCTTGGCTCCAGCTTCCGGCCAGTGAGGACATTTGGGGAGTGAGACGGCAGATGAGACAGATCTCACTCTGCCTTTCTAATTAAAATAAATTTATTTATTTATTCTTTATTTTAAATACACAGAGATACAGAGCCAGAAACAGACACAGAGAGATTTTCCCACCCACTGGTTCACTCCCCCAGACTGCAGCAGCCAGGGCGGAGCCAGGACCCTGGAGCTCCATCCGGGTCTCCCACGTCGGTGGCAGGGGCCCAGAGTGGCCATCAGGAGGCTGGGATCAGCACAGCCAGGGAGAAGAGGCACGCCGGTGCTGGTGCCGGTGCGGAAGGGTCTTAAAGAGGGGTCTTTAAAGTGTCCTTGGGGAGTGTCTACTAGGAAAAACTGCGCATAGCTTTCAGGTTGTTTTTTGATCAAAATAAATATCTTTTACTTCAATTTTTCATTTTTTTAAAAAAAGTTTATTTGAAAGGCACAGTGACAGAGAAGGAGAGAGGTCTTTCATCCTCAGATGGCCGCAACAGCCAGGGCTGGGCCAGGCCGAGGCCAGGAGCCAGGAGCTTCATCAGTCCTCCCCGTGGGTGCGGGGCCCAAGCCCTCGGGCCATCTTCGCTGCTCTCCCAGGCACGACAGTAAGGAGCTGCATCGGAAGCAGAGCAGCCGGGACTCGAACCAGCGCCCACAGAGGATGCGGGCGTCATCTCAAGGGTTGGCTCAACCTGCTGTGCCACGGTGCCGGCCCCGATTTCCGCAACGTTTCGAACTTTGGAACTTACCCTGGGGCTAACGCGTTGTGGGTGCAGTGACAAAGTATGTCTGGGTTTGCTCGCTTCACAAAGATCCCAGAGCCGGGGGGAGCAGGTGGGGTGCACACGGCCCAGAGTGCGAGCCCCGGAGCTGGGAGGGGCGCGGGGGCTTCCGGCCGCACTTCCCTCTGCTCTCCCGTCTGCCGTGCCCGATGGAGGCTGCTCTCCAGGCCGGCGCAGGTGCGACCTGGCAGCCAGGTGCTGCGCTCCACCGACTGATGACAGCCGAGGCTGTACGTGGAAAACTCGGGGACACGTTAAGAAAAGTCATTGCTCAACAGGAAGCCCCCAGCCACCCCGAATCGGTCTCCCCTCACTGTCAGTCCTGGCTTCTGCCCCACCCCCACCCCGCCCTGAGCTCCCAGCTCCTCCTCGCCCCCTCCCTCCTTGGCCCCCACCCCGGCTGCGCCCATGGCTCCCAAGCCTCGCCTGGCCCGGCAGGGGACAGCGCCCCCTCTGCGCCAGCCCCCACGTACTTCCCGCTGACTCACCCCTCCGCCCAGGCTGCTCTCTGCATCCTCGCTCTCCTTATCTGAGAAATGGGGACAATGTCCACTTCCCGGCGTCTAGAGGGTCCCACTGGGGTGGGGCCTGGCAGCCGGCGAGGACCCCCTCACCCACTCCTCAGACTCCTCTGCTCCCCAGCCCCGCCGCGCCCGGTGCACCCCAGCCTCCTCCCTGTCCCCACGTCCATGTCCGTGCCACCAGAATGAGCTTCCCAAGTCACACGTCGGCCCTACACCCCATCCGAAGCCCCCGGCCACCTCGTGAAGCCGGGCCGCTCACGGGTCTCCACCTGCTCCCTAACCACGCCCCTCGGCACCTGTGCCATGCACACAGCACCGCCCGAGCCGCCACACCTCACCGCCACTGCCCAGGCAGCGCCCTTCCTCGGCCAGGGTGGACCTCGCCCCGCTGCCCGGCACCTGCGGTGGGCAGAGTCGCTCGAGACTCCCGGCACAAGGTGGGGTCCCCAGAGGGCTGGGGGACGAACTGGCCCACTCACGGCTGGCACAGAGCAGAGCAGGGAGGGGTGAGAGAGAGAGGGAGAAACAAAGCGGAGAGTCAGAGACAGGGCTGGGGCGGGGCGGGGGGCCTCACAGCCGCGGGGTGGGAAGCACCCAGCTCTGCTGCCACAGCCTCTGAGCGCCCCGCCCTACCCCACCCCTGCAGACTGGGCCCCCTGTGGACAGAAAGCCGGGCAGAGCTCCCCAGCTGCTGGTTAGCATCCACCAGGGCACGGCCGTCTCCCGCCCCATCGCAGGCCCACCCCGCCACCGAGGTCTCCCCCAGCCTCCCCGAGCCCCTGCCGATCTCCCACACGGCCTCCCACCCAGCCCCCTCCTCTGTCATGCTCTTGTCTCTGCTCATTGCCACCTGGGGTCGGCCCCCCAGGGCAGGTGCGACAGATATCAGCAAGGTCCCCTGGGTGCTGAAACCCTGTGTCCCTGGCGGGGCGGCACCAGGGGGTGCTCCCCTCCCAAGGTCCCCGCTGCTGCCGGGCCCTGCGGCAGCCGCCTCCTGTCCACCACTCCGTGACGACACTCCTGGGCCCTTCTCCCTTCTGGGCCGGGGTCAGGCCTGGCGCTCCCACACCCTCTCCCTGCCAGTAGCAAGTGCGTCCCCACCCTGGTCAAACCTTGTCCCTGGGCCGCCAGGGCTGCAGCTGGATAAGACCAGTCTCACCTCACCGCTCACGCTTGGTCCCCTCCCTCAGCCCTCCCTGCTCTACCCACAAGATTCCTGAGGCACAGTCTCTCGGAGGCACTCAGCAGTGTGTCACTGTCTGAGACTCCCACGGTGAGCTCCACAGGGTCTCTGGCTCACCACCGACTCCCGGACCTAGCACAGGTAGGTATTCAAGCATTTGTGAATGAACGGGCGGTGTGGCAGGTGGACGGGAGCCGAGGCAGCGGCTGCACCGGGCCAGGAGACCACAGAGGAGGCTGGAGCCACAGCGGGGCCCGGGACACCCCCCCGCAGGGCACACTGCAAAGTCAGAACCGGGGTCTCAGGCGCCGCCTGCAGGGAGAGGAGGGCACAGGGCAGTGTCTGTGCCAGGGCAGCTCCTGTCCCAGGGCTGCCCCAGCCCGCTGTGCCCTTCCGCACCGCAGCGGCCCCGGCGGCGGGCTGGGGTCTCCTCAGCCTGCACCAGTCCAGCAGCCCACGGGGGTCGGGGGTGGGCGGAGCTGGCACACCCCGGGCGACATCGGGATGCCCGGGCCAGGGCCTCCTGTCACATCTCCTCCGCTCCCAGGCCCCAGGCCCGATACTGCTGTTCCCAACGTTGCCCAGGGGGCTGGACCCGCCCCTCGGCCCCCTCCCAGGTGCGCCCCCCACCCGCGGTGGGCCCAGCCCTCCACGACACAGCCACAGCGGCGCGACCCCCACCCCGGGCAGACACAGGACACTCACTCGTGCAGCTGACACAAAGCGGAGGCCACGCGTGCCGGCCATGCTCCCCACCCACAGACACAGGGGGACGGACAAGACGGCCGGGCGGCGGAGGCGGCGGCGCGGTCCGCACGGAGGGTTTATTACGGTTGCGGCTCACAAGGCGGCGGCGCGCGACCCCCGGGCCCCCGGCGGACGCGGACGCGGGCGCATGCAACAGTGCGACACGGTCAAGCGCGGCCGAGGCGACACGGGACGCGGACGGACACGGGGTGGGGCCCAGCCCCCCACCCGCACAGGCAGGCCCGGGTCGGGGAAGGGGGAAAAACGAGATTCGTACTTCTTGTAAAATGCCCACTGGCTGGGTACTTTTTCTCCTTATCTTGAAAAACAATAAAAAATAAACACACGGAAAAAAAAAGTCTCCAGGAAGGAGAGGGGTAGAACTCTTTAAGTCAGCCGGCGGGCGCCCAGGGGCCGGGGGGGCGCGGCCCCCTCCTCCTCCACCGCCTCCGCTGCTGTGACCGCCGCGGCCGGCAGGGGGCGCCCAAGCCCGCCGGGCAGGTGCGCGGCGCAGGTGCGCGGCGCAGGTGGGGGACCCAGGACGCTGGGCTCAGTTCAGGGGCCCGGTCCGCGGCCCACCAACGGACCGACCGACCGGTCATCCAGGCTTGGCCCCGCAGGCCCAGGGCCCGCGGGAGGCCGGAGGTCACAGGTGCAGCTCGTGGGTCTTGATGTGTTCCAGCTGCTCCCGCAGCTGCAGGAACGAGGGCCGCGAGGCGGCGTCCAGGCGCCAGCAGTTCTTCATGACCTCGTAGACGGCGGGCGGGCAGCCGTCGGGGGCGTCCATCTTGTAGCCCTTCTCCACCCGAGGGACCACATCCTTCAGGGGCTGCGGGGGCAGGGGGGCGGGTTAGCGCAGGGCCCCGGCCTCGCCCCGGGCGGCAGCGGCGGGGACCCCGCACTCACAATTCTCGGGTAAGGCACTCGCCCGAAGGAGTAGATCTCCCAGAGGAGGATCCCGAAGCTCCACACGTCGGACTTGGTGGAAAACTTCTGCGGGGGGAGGGGGGTCAGAGCCGGCCGCGCGTGGGTGCTGGGTGGGTGGGGGTGGGGCGGGTGCAGGCGGGGATGGGGCCCGTGCGCGGCTGTGGGTGGGGTGGGGTGGAGGTGAGGCCCGCGTGTTGGTGGGGTGTGAGTGGGGCGGGGCCCGAGCAGGGGTGGGGCGGGTGCAGGTGGGGATGGGGCCATGCGCGGGTGTGGGGTGGAGGTGAGGCCCGCGCGTGGGTGGGGTGTGAGTGGGGTGGGGCCTGAACAGGGGTGGGGCGGGTGTGGGGCCGCACATGGGTGTGGGTGTGGTGGGATGGGGCCCATGCACCCGGGTGGGGGTGGGGCCAAGCTCGAAGGTATAGGTGTGGGTGGGGGTGGGGCCCGCGTGCCTGCGTGGGGTGGGGGTGGGCCCGCGCGCCGCCCTGCCGCCCCACCTTCTCCCGCAGGGCCTCGGGGGCCGTCCACTTGACCGGCAGCTTGCCCGTGTCCTGGGTGCTGGAGGCCTCCTTGGTGAGGCCGAAGTCGCTGACCTTGGCCATGTTGTCCTCGGACACCAGCACGTTGCGGGCGGCCAGGTCTCGGTGCACAAAGTTGTTGCCTTCCAGGTACTCCATGGCCTCGCACACGTCTCTGCGGGCAGCACGGGCGGGGCTCAGGGGCGCCGGGCGGGCTGGGGTCCTGCTCCCCTGAGCCCCCCGCCCCGGGGGCGGCCGCACTCACAGCGAGAACTTGAGGAGGCAGTCGCCGCCCAGCACCGAGCGGCCGCGCGACCGCAGGTAGTCCACCAGGCTCCCCTGCGGGCAGCGGACACTCAGGACCCGGGGTCAGCCCCGCCCCCAGGACCACGCCCTGCACCTCCCACTGCTCGCTCATGGTCCCCACTCCGCGGGAGGGGCACGGGGAGGCTGGGACGGGGCGGCCACTGGTCCCAGGTCAGGGTGTGTGTGGGGGGCCCACCTTGGCCATGTACTCGGTGACGATGTAGAGCCCGCCCTTCTCCTCCACGATCACGCCCAGAAGCTGCACCAGGTTACTGTGCCGCAGTTGCCTGCGGCGGAGGGGGGCTTCAGAATTACGCACCGACCCTGAACCCGCCCGCCCCCGCCCGCCCGCCCGCCCGCCCGTGCCGCCGGACTCACGTCATGACCGAGGCTTCAGCCAGGAAGGCCTGGGCCGTGGCGTCGCTCTTGATGCACTTCACGGCCACTTTGTTGCCCCGGTAATCGCCCAGCATCACGTCTGCGGAGAGCAGAGGCGCTGACGCCCTGGTCCCTGGTCCCCGGCCCCGCCCCCCGCCTCCGGCCCCGCCCCCAGCTCCTCCCCCCCGCCCCCAGCGCCTCCCCTCACCTCCGAACTCCCCCTTCCCGATGGTCTGCAACAGTTTCAGCTCTTTCATGTTGAGCGCCCAGCCACCTGCGGGGAGGGCGTGAGGGCTGGAGGCGGGCCTGTGGGTCCCCGAGCCTCCGGGACGGCCACGGGCTGGGGGCACTTACTGCGGTAGAACTCGTCCTGGGCGGCCACCGTGCCCTCCATGACCTTTGGTTTGATGAGGCGCGTGCAGAGTCCATCGGCGTCCGAGGTGTAGTGCTGGGGAGGGCAGGCCAGGGCGCTCACGCAACGCCCAGCGCTCGCCACCAGAGGGCGCCAGAGGCCGGTCCCGCCCAGCCCGGCTTGGCTGTGACGGGGGAGGGCGCCCCATTTCTGGCAAGCCCAGCCCCTGACACGTGGCCTGTTCCCCGGACCGCTCCACACCTGGCGGTTGCTACCATTCCGGGCCTGAACCCCGGCTGTGTCCGGACACCAAGCTCCAGCCAGGTGCGCTCAGCGACCCTCCCCTCCCTGGTCAGGCCACACCAGGCCAGGGAGTACGGGCAGGGCGGCTGCCCGCGGCTGTGGGGCTGCGTGGGCACTGCCCGGGCAGGTGCAGGAGCCTGGGCCACCCCGAGGGCCGCCGCTCTGTGAGTGCCTGTGAGACCCCGGTCTCTGGGTCCGTCCGCCGGGCCCTGGACTGCTCACTACTCTGCACCTGTCTCCCCCGCCCCCACCACGGCTGCCCCGCGGGGTCAGGCGTGAGAGCAGCAGGGCCCCCGGACTCCCGCGCCCACGGCCCAAGGCGGCCTGTGTGTGGGCGCCCGCCGGCCGGCTCACCTCCACCAGCTGCATGAGGTTCTCGAAGTACACCTCCTCGTCGATGCTGAGCTTGCTGGCGTGGTACATGATGCGGTAGTGCTCCACCTTGCCGTCGCAGCTCACGCACAGCGTGTAGTCCCCGGGGTAGTTGGTGCTCTCCCGCACCAGGAACAGGCCCGTCTCCGGCGGGTACAGGAGCCGCTCGGCCTGCTCCCGCGTGATCTTCCCGTGGAACCAGCTGGTGGGGGGAGGCCTGGGGGTCACGGTGGCCCGAGGGGGCGGAGCCCGGCGCCTCCTCCCTCCCAGGGTACTCACGGCATGAGGCTGAGCTTGGTGCCCGCCTTCACGCCCTCTCGCTTCTGGACGTAGTTGGCGGGGATGATGCCCTCACGGCCCACCTTGTTCTTCGCTTTGTACCAGTTGGGGTCCTGGGGAGAGGGCGGCCCACAGCCTCTCAGGCTCTGCCGGCCCCACGGGGGGCTGAGACCCAGGGGCAGCCCGGGGCGGGGGGTCCCCGTCTACCTTGGTGACGGCCACGATGGTGAGCACGTCTCCTTTGCAGAAGGGTAGGTCCTGCTCGGCGGTGCCGTGGAAGCTGTACTTGGCGATGCACTCCGTGCCCGAGGGCCAGGCGGCCTGCAGGGGGGCGGCGGCCGGGACCCTCTCACCCACACGCCCTCCATCCAGGTCACAGCCTCTGCAAGCCGGGATGAGGTGCCCCTTCCGCCGCCCTAAGCCCTGACGGACAGCCCATGCGGGGCCCCTGCCTCCCGCTACCTGTATCGCCGACATGGTCTCAGGAGAGCTGGTGTCCCCGAGTCACAGCAAGGCCGGCCTGTCGCCTGGTACCATCAGAGCTGCGGGGAGAAGGGACGATGGAGCGGGGCCGTGCGCAGACGGCCCCCACCCAGCCCCTGAGACTTGGGCCCGTCCCTGCGTGCAGATGACACAGGCTGACGCTCCCACTCTGGGGACCTGGGGCCGGCTCTTCCCGCCCGGCCAGCAGCCGGGGAACCCGAGGATCAAGGGGGCTGCCGACCCTAGGCCGGCCTCTGTGGGGCAGCGGCAGTGGAGGCGCCGCCGGTCAGCACACCCGGCCCGCACAGCTCCGAGGCAGGGAAGGAGCTGGGAAGCCCAGGTCACGCAGGCCCTCGGCCCACGCGGGTCTTTCACCGACACGCGTGCCCAGCCTCTGCCCCCGCAGGCAGAGGTGGGTCTGCGCCGGGAGACAGCGTCCCCGAGATGGGCGGAGGGGCGCGGCCAGCAGCGGGGTAGGCACAGCAGGGAGACCATGCCGCAGCGAACACAGAGAAACCGGCCCTGAGGCAGGCGAGATGGAGGCCTCCCGGTGCCCAGGGATCGAGGCTCGGCCGGAGCCCTGCCCGCTGCTGCTGCTGGGACAGCCTCCCCCATCACGTGGGACAGTGCTGATGCGAGCAGCCAGGGCTGGGGCCCGAGCAGGACAGCACACGGCCTTGGGAGCCAGCGGGAGCCCGGGACACGGCCACGTCCAGCCTCAGCCCCAGGGTCACGGACAGGCAGAGGGGAGCTTCCGACCCGGCTCCTCTTCCTAGGGCGTGTGGGGGCCAGTGACACCCCCCTTGTGAGTCCCAGGTCCTGCACCAGCAAGGGGGGCCGGGACCCCTGCCGCAGGCTGTGGAGTGGCTGGTGGATTAACCCTTCAGCGCCCGGCCACAGAAGGGCTCCCTTCCCCCGAGCACTCCTGGCCCCTCGGTCCCGAGGCCAGCCCGTCCACCCCAACCCCTCGACAGGGACAAGAAGGCCCGAGGAGGACGACTGAGCCCCCAGCACAGGAGGGCCCTGCACGGTACGGGAGAGCTGTGAGCTCCTCGCTCCACCTTATACTGGGGCTCCCACTTGAACGGGGGTGGGGTGCGGCCAGAAGGCCCTTCTGAGCGGTGGCCCTGCCAGCTCGCCCCTCCCCCACCCTTCCCCAAGTGCACCGCCACCGGGAAGCGTGCAGGCTGCAAGCTGCCAGTCACCCCCAGCTGTCAGTTTGCAAACACTGCTTCCGGCCCACAGCTGCCGCCGCCGCCTCCCCACGGCCTGGATGATAATAACAGAAATAATGGCAGGCCCGGGTGCCGGGCGCGGGGTCTGTGCCAGGCCCGGTCCTTGGCACGTGCGGATCCGCGGCACCCTGCCGGCTGTGGCGGGGGCTGTCGTTACTCCCAGCTTACAGGAGAGGCCCGCGTGGCCCCGGCCCAGGCCACCCCTCCATCGCCGGCCAGTGATGACTCTGGAGACGGCAGGCTCTAGGAGGATGCCCAGAGGGGAAGCCCCTCCCCTGCCAGGTGGGAGGCTGCAGACCCAGGCCTCCTCCCTGGGCGCTGAGTTCTGTCACGTGACCTCCCGGGGCCCACCCCTTCCCCCAACCTTGGGGTACAAGACTGCTCCCGGGAGGGCAGGTGGCCTGCACAGCTCCAGCTGCTGCCCGGGGTGTGGACAGCCAAAGGCAACAGGAGCCACTGAAGGACGACGGTGGCACACGGGCCCAGGCTTCACAGCAGGGAGACCGGCGGCCGCCTGCACCAGGCAGCGGGGCTCAGCAGTAACAGCCAGGGGCCGAGCCGGGCCCCCGCTGTGTGGCACCGGCCGTGCACTGCTCCTTCTGTCCAACCCGCCCCAGCCAGGAAGCCACAGTCCGAGGGGACCACAAGCAACCGACTCCAGACTCCAACATCACTAAACGTTACCACCACCACCACCCCCGCCCAGAGGTGGGAGAACGTTCTAGACTGTTCTAGGTTAAATCGGATACTAAAGAAATATGCAAACGAGGCTCAATGAGTGATCCTAAAGTGGATCCTTGATTGAGGGAAAACAGGACCACAGGGGGAGGGCACTGGTGTGGAATTACGGCCGGTGTCCAGAGCTGTGACGGTGGCACACGACGGATGGGTTAACAGTCACACTGCAGCGAAACAAAGCACCAGGAAAATACACACGCAGGGGCGGGCATTTGGCACAACAGCTGAGATGGGGCTGGCACTGTGGCACAGCGGGTAAAGCCACGCCCTGCAGGGCCAGCATCCCGTGTGGGTGCCGGTTCGAGTCCTGGCTGCTCCGTTTTTGATCCAGCTCCTTGCTGATGGCCTGGGAAAGGAGTGGAAGATGGCCCACGTGGGAGACCCCAAAGAAGCTGCTGGCTCCTGACTTCGCCCTGGCTCAGCCCTGGCTGTTGCAGCCATTTGCGGGGAGTGAACCAACAGATGGAAGATCTCTTTCTCTCTAACCTCTGTCAATCTGTAACTCTTTCAAAAAAAAAAAAAAAAGAGAGAGAGAGACACGACCCTGCTTGGACACCTGCGTCCCTGCCTGAGAGCTGGGGTTTGAGTTCTGACTCACTTCTGACCCAGTTCCTGCTGATGCACACGCAGCAGGTGACGGCCCAAGTGCTCGGGCTCCTGCCACCACGAGGGGAGATCCAGCTGGGGTTCTTGTGTCAGCCTGCTCGAACCCCAGTTGTTGGAGGAATCCGGGGACCCTGTGGATGGACGATCTCTCTCCCTCTTGCTTTTTTTTTTGGACAGGCAGAGTTAGAGAGAGAGAGAAAGGTTTTCCTAACATTGGTTCACCCTCCAATGGCTGCCACGGCTGGCGCACTGCGCTGATCCAAAGCCAGGAGCCAGGTGCTTCTCCTGGTCTCCCATGGGGTGCAGGGCCCAAGCACTTGGGCCATCCTCCACTGCACTCCCTGGCCACAGCAGAGAGCTGGCCTGGAAGAGGGGCAACCGGGACAGAATCCGTCGCCCCGACCGGGTGTGCCGGCGCCGCAAGGCGGAGGATTAGCCTAGTGAGCCACGGCGCCGGCCTCCCTCTTGCCTTTCAAGTAAAATGGAAATAAATAAACATGCACACCCTTCGCTGGATCCCACTAGCTGTAGATCAAATATATTCAAATGTCGCACCCGTCCTGAACAGGCGGGCTTTTCTTCGCTGCACAACACGGCAGGGCGATGCTGCCCAGAGCACCCACAAGGCACCGGCAGACTCATCTCCGAGACGTGCAAGCAGCCGGAGGGCACGGGGAGGCCAGGTGCAAGCAGGGGGCCACTTCCCAGAAGGCCTCACCATCCGTGCCTCTCCAGGAGGCAGGGAGTCCTGGACAGTCACCACGGATCCCAGCAGGCCACTGCAGACCCAGGCAGGCCGGCGTCACGGGGCACCGGCGAAGCCAGCTCCTGCGATGCTAACGCCCTGGAGACCGGGAACCCTGCTTCCCACCTGACGAGGCAGACGAGGGCCCCGCCCACCTGCCTGGGCCCCTGCACCCACGAGGCAGACCTGGGTGGGGTTCCAGGCTCCCAGCTTCCGCCTGGCCTGGTTGTCGCCATTGTGGGCATTTGGAGAGGGAACTAGGGGATGGAAGATCTCTGTCTCTTTCTCTTTATTGCGCTACCTTTCAAACACACAAATACAAATAAATAAATAAAAAGGCTAGGTGCAGCTCACACGATGCTACTTCAAAGCAGCTGTGGAAAAACATTCAAGATAAGTTTATATTGGTGCAACCAAATCCTAAAAACCACAGTTTTTTTAATAAGCTTACTTTTATTTCCTTTTTCTATGAACTTTTTGAAGTCCTCTGCTGCTACCAGCTTTTTTTTTTTTTTTTTTTAAAGATTTATTTATCCATTTGAAAGGCAGAGACAGAGAGAGGACTTCCATCCACTGGTTCACCTCCAAGATGGCCGCAACGGCCAGAGCTGCACCAATCTGAAGCCAGGAGCCAGGAGCTTCTTCCGGGTCTCCCATGCGGGTACAGGAGCCCAAGCACTTGGGCCATCTTCCACTGCTTTCCCAGGCCACAGCAGAGAGCTGGATGGGAAGTGGGGCGGCCGGGACTCAAACCTCTGCCCCTGTGGGGTGCTGGAGTGGCAGGTGGCCACCTCCCCCGCCGCGGGCCCCACCAGCCATGTCCTACACCGGGCTCGCTACAGGAAGTGGCAGCAGAGAGGGGTGAAGTTTAAGGGACATTTGCTTTTTAACTGCACTATTTCCTGTTTCGTCTTTTTTTAAACCACATGTATCCATTACCTCCCTCCAGTAGCAAACCAGCCACATTTTAAAAGCTGGCTCATGGGAGGCCTCCCTGGTTCCCTGGCTCAGCTGGGGCGCAGGGAGCTCATCACAGCTGCAGCCCCAGCGCCTGCAGACGCTGAACGAATGAATGAACAAACAGGGAGGCGGGCGGGCCGGCCGCGCCACACCAGGGTCCCGTAAGGGACAGGCTATATTTAACCCCACTGGGACAGCAGCTGCCTCCCCACCCCCACGCGGCTCAGTGACAGGGCCCTGGGATGTGGCGGGGTGAGCTCTTCACTGACTTCCTGCCCCAAACTCTGCTCCCAGCAGCCCTTGTGCCGGGGTCCCGGGAACAGGCTGGGCATTGTGCCCAGGCGCTGAGGTCAGTGGCCACAGCCCCAGGCAGGCCTTTCTCGGGAGCCCAGACCGCCGGGCAGGGGAGGACGAGGGAGGAATTGGGGCCAGGAACTCCCAGGCTGCCCTCTCCCTGCCCCCCTCACCCAAACGCCACTGCTTCAAGGGGCGTGGGAGCCTTTGCCAAGTGTTTACACCCAGCTAAAAATACCCACTAAAAGGGGAAGTGTACAGGGACCGGGGGACGCAGAGCCGCAGCCCCTAGAGACGCTATGGCAGCCACCGGACCCAGCTGGACTCTGGGGGGGGGCGGGGTCAGCAACAGGAAGGGCCCAACCTTCTCAGACTCTGGGCAGTGCTAGGGAGCCGCCCCGTGCGCCCAGCATCACGCGTGGTGAGCCGGGAGGGCACCCAACAGAACCAGAGCGAGGACCCGGCCTCCCGCCTGTCGCCAGTCCACTCAGTGCTGTGACAGACCGAGCAGAGAGCAGGGCAGCCCGGGGGGGCTTCCAGGAAGAAGGGGCGGGGGTGCCGGCGCCCCACAGAGGCGCTAGGCCTGGCTGCAAGTGTCCTGCAGCCCACGGGACAGCCACGACAGAATGAAGT